ACAAAGCTCGTTATTTTTAATCAGTTATCAAAATTTATCGCTTTAAATTTGTCTGCACAATGTGTGGGCCAGTAAAAGGACTCTGGATGTATATATAGTTAGTGTTCATTTTAATTTTGTTCGCGCTATTTTGCGTTTAACATTTACGCGAGTTTAATGAAGTGGACCACCGCCCCTCCCCCTCCAGCCAGAGTCCAACATCCGTTGGCCCCTCTCATATTGCATTTTCAACTTGTTTATAGTCGAAAATGTGTGGAGCACATTAAAGTTAATGTGAAAAGCCAGCGGCTATTCAACGCACAACAACATCGGATGTGGGGACAGGAAGAACTAGCAGAAACAATGAGAGCTCATAAAACTCAGTTGAAATGCAATTTGATACTTTTGGCTATGGCCCGAAACTGAGCCAAAAACTATTTGCGAAATGAGCGAAGCGCCGCCGGCCGGCTAAAATTCAACTGGGATGGAATTTCACCGAATTCCCGACCTCTGTTGCTCCCCCCTACTATCAGATAGTCCTTTCGCATTTTTGGCATTTTTTTATATCTCGTGAAATACAAATAGAGTTAAGGTGCTTTACGATAGCCAAAGAAATTGCAGATTATAATAAATCTGTTTATATTTTGCATTCTTCAATTAGATAGCAACGACTTTAAATTCTTTATTCACCCGACTTAACTGCTCACATTTTGAACACAAAAATAATTGAAAGCACAACGACTCGTCGGCCAATCCCCTCCGGGCGGGGATGGTAAGAAAAATAGAAACGTGGTCTGCCTCGCAATTAAAGTCACCATGAAGCCAGGTACTGAAACAAAGGCGGCGGTAATGGAAATTGACGTTTGCTTAGCTTAACTCTCCGACTCACGGATTCAATTAGAAACGAAAGCCATTTTATAATTGAAACGAGCCTGGCAGGCACGCCACGCCCCCAGACAGAGACGCCTACTTTTAATCTGGCGAAATATAAAGATAAACTGAACATCAATAGATATTGCGAGCAGCGCAAAATTAGCAAACCGGAGGACAATAATGATAATGGTTAGTGCGGAAGGGAAGTTGGAGATATGATTATTCATTAGACGGCGAATCATGTAATTGAAAAGTTTTTTGACACAACTGCCAGGACTCACATCATCATCGTCAGCATCGCGAACATCATCTTCAACCCAAAGACAAAACACGTCGCTCAATTTGTCACTCGCGTGCCTAGGAGGTGAGGGGCGTGGCAGCCAAGACTAGGAGTGAATGGGGGGTTTTGGGCTGACTGATGATGTGTGTGACTAAGCAGAAAATTTCCAGCATTGCGTCCCCTCAATTCCCGCTGCCTGTGACATCCTAGAGAGAACTCCTTATCCCTCATTTTTCTCCTCTTTCGCCCTGATTATGATTGAGTTGACGTCGTTAATATGTTATCGATGACGATGATGGGCGCTCCTTGAGCGAATGTTTTACTCGCGCTCGCGACTTGACAGCTTTTGCTGCTGGGGGAGGATGGGCGGTGTACAGAAGGAGGAGATGCTGTTCCATTTAAATCATTTACATTTCTCCCAATGTCAACACAAACACAAACAAGAGACACACACATTTATTCCCACACATGTACACGTTACAGTTGCTTATTTGTCTTTTGAATTATTAATGAAGTCGTTGAATGGCTTCAGCCTCTGGCGTGGACTTGGGCTTAAGTTGAAGCTGTGTTTACGTGGCCAGCATCTGAACTGAACTCAACTGTACTGACCTGATTTGCAGTTGAAGTCTGTTGATGACCTGGCTCTTAATCAACCGAGTCGTTGCCTCGTGCATCCTTGCGGCATTCGCATTCATCGCAGATAAGTTTAATTAAATCCCAGGCACATTCCTCGAATGCTGCTCTCGTGGCTGCCACGCCCATAGCTGCGCATTGCAATTCTTTAAGCACTTCTCCACAGCTCCGGGAAATATGGGCATGATATACCAAAGGGATAAGCGGAACAGGAACAGAATGAAATAGAGGAGGAAGCAGCAAAGTTTTCTGATTTCGATTTTTATTGTGGCCAAAAACTCTGAAACAATTTCCAATCTGCTGCCATGGAGATTAGAGAACGCGAAGAGGGAAAGAAGAATCAGGTGGAATTTGAGGTCGGTTTCTTGGCAACAATTTCATTTCGGAGGCATTTCCTCTTCTATTTCCAACTCTGCCAACTCTTGACTTTCCACCTGGCCAACTGTTTTGGTTCTGGTTCTGGCTCTAACTGCACATGGAAATCCATTCGTGTAGCTGCACGCATCCAGCAGAAAAAGGGGAAAGCAAAGGGAAAATACCACTTGAACCACAAAATCCTAAAGCTAAAAGTTTTTCCTCGTTTGCTCTTCAAATGTTTCTTGAATAATTTAATGCACAGAAGCAAAAATTAACACGTATTTATTAACGCGTCAGTCGAAGTAAGTCGTGTAAGTCTAAATCAGAAGAGCAAACTCATAATTCCTTTCCTAAAATTGTGGGAAAATGCATATGTGATTCCCCAAGCTGTTAATCTTTTTTCAACTTTGTAATTACTTTTGCAGCCAAAGAACTTTCTTTGAGAACCTCATTCACAAATTATATTCGAAACAAACAACAAAGCCACTCAACCACACTTGACTGCCCACTCTCGAACCACACAGTGTCACCAACATCAACTTCAACTTCTCAGCTTCAGCTACTGTCCGAAACTCAACTAAATCACTTTCTATTCAACAGGACTCTCTACAGAACAAACCAACCAACCAGGCAACCCACGACTAGACGAGCAGACGACACAAAAAGGCCACCAGAACAACGAGGACAACCAGGACACGTGCTCGACACCAATAACGGGCTACTGGTCACTGTTGTCCACTCTCTGCTGACCAGCTGGGAATACGTCACCAACGAGAAGAACCAAGCCACCAGCAGCAGCAGCAGTTGGTCAAAGGAGCAACAGTGGGAGGAGTAGGTAGCCAACGGAGAGGGAGGAGTGGCTAATAAAAAAGCTAACGAAAGTCTAGCAGAGTCAGATGCGAAAATGCTGATGCCGCTTGCAGTCGACAGGCGAATCCAGCAGCAACAACAACAACAAGAGAAACAACCGCAACAAAAACAAAACTGGAAAAGTTGAACCCTGTGTGCAAAAGGGGAGAGTCGACAGCTGAGGAGAAGGGGGAGTCAGAGGCAGCTGCAGCGGCTGAAAAGTTCCAAATTTTGGCAGACTGAATCCTCATCGCTTTGTGGCCGCATCCGGAACTGTTAGCAGCAGTTGCTGTTGCTGGAATTTGATTTTAACGCTTCTTCTTTTAGACAAAATTGTGCCCCCAGCGGAAGAGTCTCCTTCCCATTGCTCAGTCCTTATTTCCTGCGCCTGTGCATCCTGAACGCTTCAATTGCCACACACTGAAATTGGCTGTCATACAGCCAAAGGGGAAGACAGTTCCACCAGAAGAAAGGGGGGTCCATTGAAATGAGCCCCAATTGTGGCGACACATGCTCTGACAAGTTATTAATTCAACGTCTGGCGCGCAGATAAGCATACCCAGACACCATATCAGGAGGAGAAGTTGCAGATCCTCACTTGTCACTGCTCACTGGATATCTCAACATTTTCATCAGCCACCATGAAGTGATAAAACTGATGGGTAAGTCTACATCACAGACCTATGTCTCCTGGGTGGGAAAACACATATCGATTAGGAAATAATCGGTGGGACAGTTACTGAAACTTCAAGACACGCCAAAAAGCCCGCCCCACAGATATGATTAATAGTTGAATGGCAAAGTGCGACAGAACAAATTCATTGCTCCTCAACAGGAAAAACAAACAGACTATGTCTGCGCGGGGAAGGGGCCTGGTAGAGGGGTCTTGAATAGGCGGAGACCACGTCGCAGTCATTAATAGTTCCAAAATAATTGTTGACCATGACGACGACGACCACAAAAGTTGCGCGAAAACACGACAAAACAAATCCACACAAATCGATTTCCGGCTGGAGCCCGGAACCAAAGACTGAGTCACCCTCGCACCTTTGCCACCCTGTTGACAGCTGCAAGTGGCTTTCCTCCTTACCCTCCTCCACCCTCTTCCAATTGCTAACGACTTCACAGTCCAGTGCTGAGCATTTTGTTGTTTGTTTTGTTGTTTTGCAGCTTGTTGTTCAAAGCGAGGCCTCGTTATTGATGGCGCCAACCGTTCAAGTGCCTCCAGATCGACCTTGTGTCAGGCCCAACCCTCCCTTTCCCCGTTCCAGCCCCTACTCCTATTCGTATCCTAAAAACTAGTTACAGTAATAGGCATTCATTCGGCGTGCCAGGGCGGAATGACGTCGTGCCTCTCGTTGATTAATGGTTCATGGCTCCAAAATGTGAGTCGAAGCTGTTCCAATTCCTATTCCAACTCTGCCCCACTACTCCATCATTCGTCCGTTAGCTGTACACAGCATTTTCCGGCACTTAACTGTAATTGGAGCAAAATGCTTCCATCTCATTATGCAGGCTCACTCACAGTCGTCGCTCCTAATCGCCAAATCACGGCACTTCAATTAGTTGAGCAGCATAAAAATAATCCACACAAGTGCCACACGAGTCCCAGATTGACGAATGACCCACAACTCTGAGCTGCAACAGTGGCCAACATCACTGTCTCACTTGACCCCCATCTTAATCCTCCCGCTCCTTTGTGAGCTTGTTCTGATATTAGCCCCTTCGTAGCACTTCTCTGGTGGTTTGCAATCGAGTTTGCTGAGGCATGATACACTCTCCCAGCCGGCTTTGTCCCTCTCTCTGCCTCTATCAACCCCTCAACCCTTTCCCGTTTGAATGCAAATCGGATTTCATTAACGACAACTCAAAGAATCTTCCACTTGTTTTGTTGCTCTTTGTAATTTCCTCTGCTTTGCACGATTCCCATAGATTTCTTCTGTCACTTCCTCCGATCACCCTTCCTCTTCTTCTGATTTTCCCCATCCACAGAACTCGTTATGTTTTTAACGACCAGTTAACACCCCCGCCCAGCAATACTTGCCACCCCCACGGTCTGTTTCCATTTCAAAATTAACAAGCAGCATGAAATCAAACAAACTGACCCGCCCACCTTCCCTTTCCCTCCTTTCATCAACAGCTTCCCTTCATCCCGCGTGCGACATGCTGTTGCATGATTTGTTTTCAGGTCGCCCACCCTCCTCCGCATATATCTCTATGGTTATTTGTTCATGTGGAAGTCGCGTCACGGCTACATGACCCATCTCCAAGCCCCAACTCCAGTCTCCTTCCCCTTTTAAGTGTGCACATTTCTGAAATACTTTTACTCTCCGGTTGTGCCTCTATTGCTGGCCGGGCTGTGATTGACGTGATGCATTCTCGTAATAAAAATCGTGTACATACATCAGTTCAGTATTCCGCCCTCACATGTCTGTCTACTCACAATTTGAAGGAAAGTTTCACACAGCATAAGTTAAACGATTTTTATTCTGCTCCCTGTAACTATACTACATATTATATATATGTCGATTTCTTCTCCTTCGAAGGAGTGACGACAACATTAAAATTAAATATTGTTTACGCTTTTGTTGAAGATTTTCCGCTCTGCCTTCCATTCCATCGCGTTGCCCCAGCAACAAGCAATTTTCGTCCCAATGTTGCCAGCGACACCAGCCAGCGTCAGTCACCAGTCAGGAGGGTTGCCCCATCTTCATCCCCATGCCCATCCGCATCACCACCCCTTCTCCCCTCCTAGAACTTGGTGTGCAAGGGCGCGTAAAAATGCAATTTCAACAAGTTTCACTTTGATGTGCACATTTCTTGGCCCCAAACCCCACGAGAAACAAGACCTTCCAACATCTTGAGTTTCTCCCACCTTGGGCTGGGAATTTCCCTTTAAATTAAAAGTTAATGCAAAAGAAAATTATTTTTAATGAATAGAAAACAGCCCGAAAATCGCCACATTAATAAACCAACCCTCGACCCTTCACCCCCAACTCCTCCTCTGGTTTATCAGTCTGTTTTGGTGTCGATTCGCTTTATTGCTGAGTAAACTGCAAAGAAAAATGAAAAACATGAAAGAAATAGAAGGTGTGTGAGATTTGTAAACTGTGTCAATTAAGTACCGAGCTCTACTCTGATTCCAGGAGCACAGGCAATTAAAAGCACTGCATTCACTGCAAAGGGATAAGCCGTGTCTAGGTGTCAGAGAGAATGAAACAGGTTAGAGGGACGGGGCAGGAGAGATGATAATTTCAGGGAATGCACGTTGCACTTCTTCAAAGCGGCTGCCAGCTAATGACACTAATTATCCTCTTAATCTTTTATGCAAATTGTGTGACGCCATTGTCAAAGTCGGAATCAGACGCTGCTTTCCTCCTGCCGCCTCAGTCCACAACTTCACCCTCCACCCTCCTCACCCAGCTCTGGCAGCGAGCGTCTGCGGTTGCAGTGTCACGTGTGTGCGGCGAAGCCATTCAGACAATCGCAGGTATTATAATTATGGTGGATAGGCAGGCGGGCAGCAGGGGGAATTTACTGGGGCAAGCCAGAAGGAGAAGAAGACTTGTGAACGAGCCAAAAGTTTCTCAGGCGACGGCAAAGTTGGAGCTGTGCAAGGCGTGTGATATGAAAGACGGCCAAAGTTCGACGGAGCAGGACTTGGACCCGTAACCAAGTTGGATGTCCTCTTTATCTGAGCTAGCACAAGGGACTAACACAAGGGACTAGTGAAATTAAAGATGCTTTCAGGATGGGTTTTAAATTTCGCTAGAAATGCCAGTCGAAAAGTTGAACTCCCTCTAAGCGTGAATCACATCCGTTTTCAATCAGAATTGAATTAATTAAGCTTGTCACAAGTGCATTTCTCATTCCATTTGCGGTTACAAGAACCCACTTGCAATTCCTCTGTCACCGTTTGTATCCTTTCATCATTGTTCCGGGCTGAATGACATTGTTCTTTTCCTGTGCTTGTGCATTTTTAATGTGAGTCGTTTTGAGGTTATGTTTGTGTGTTTTGTTTAGTCTGTGACGAATACTCTAAATGAATGCAAAACAAGACCAAGGAGCACCTTGCCTCTCGTTCTACTCTCTTCTGCTTCATAGAGAGCTGTGCAGTTTGTCAGCGGAAGGCTGAAAACGGAATACATAAAAGGCAAGTAGCTCGGTTTGAGTAACTTGGAGAGTCTAGCAAGTAAGCGGGGTACATAACAATTTTAAATTCAAATACAAAATGAAACTGTTCAGGAAAATGGCTTAAGAATTGGGGAAGTTCTTTGCCGAGCCAAGAATGGAAGGGAGTTAACGAAAAATGCTTTTTCTTGTTCTATAATTGGATTTGAAATTGTTTTAAAAATCGGGCGAGCCCCTCTTCTTCTATTGCATTGCACTTAGACGCACATTCACATACGCGTCTTTGCCTTTGTCCTTCACTCAGTCTTGCCTTCGCCGGAAACACAACATTCAACATCCGCAACAGGCGCACAGTCTGTCTCAAAGCACGAAGGGAAGAGGGCAGTGGAGTTGAGGAGAGTAAATAGTGTTTGCGACTTGTAATGCAAAGCGAGACTAAGCCTGATCCCATGGAGTAAATGATGCAACATAAAGCAGACAACTAGTAAACAGCTAAGGAAAGATGGTAGTGAGGCAGTGGCAACAATGAAAGCGGATGAAGAAATTTAATTTTACGTCTTTTTAACTCGAACAGCTCGTCTTTCACTGCCAGGATCGGGGTCAGAGATTAGGGCTCCCAAGCTAGTTACGAGTTACACAAAGCAAAGCGAATGACGATGATGGTGATGATGTTTTTGATGTCTCGCCTCCAATCGGGTTAGACAGCACTTGACACCTTTTATTATTTGGACTCATTTTATCCTCCTCTCCCCCTGCATGCCAGTCGCACATTTATTTACACCACCAGAGTGATACAAGCGATTGACGCCACTTGCATTGTTGCCTGCTGGTGACGGATTCGATCTCGATTATTATTGTGTCTTGGGTATTGTTTACCGAAACCAACCCTCAGTTGTTGCGTTGTCAAGGAAATCAATTTCCGTTGAAGTTGAAAGGTGGATGCAGGTGGCTGGGGAGGGAAACAGAGCCATCAACTTGCCGGAAAAGTAAACACAAATGCACAAAGTTTGCACAACAGTAGAAAATGATAGAAACTGCGCATACTGAGACTCCAAGGGGAACTTCTAACAAAGCAAATTGTGAAATAAACTTTCTCCTTATACCTGGAATGCATCAGCATCCCAATCTCATCCTGATTCTTCTCACATTCTCATTCGCCTCTCATTCGCAGGGCTGAAGGCGGATTTGCTCTAAGTCCACGAGGGAGCCATTAACACATACGCGATGTACTTCACCGTCCCCGTCCCGGCAGATGTGCACGAGCTGGGGTTCTCCTGCCGTCACTTATCCTGTAAGTAACCCTTCCCCTCCTCACTTCCATTTAACTTGCAATTTGATTTGCACTCCATTAACTGGCTATCTCCCCCTTTATTCCATTCTCAGTTGCGCTACACAATCAGCATCGAGTACGCCAACGACCAGGACGCACTGGGCACACCCACGCTGAGCATTCCGCACAAGGGCCTGGTGCCGTAGAAGATCGAGTCCTTCCTGGTTTACCTGCCCTACACGGGCAATGCCAGCCTCCAATTGCCTGTGAATGTCAACATGGTAGTGCAAAGGAACTCCCCGCTTCAACGATACCCGGCGCCACTTCAAGCGCAACAAGATCTGTGCCAAAGGTAAGCTCAAATCCCAACACTCTCACTCACTTTGTCATCCTTACATATCCTCGTTTCTGCTTATTGCCATTGCAGGCACCAGACCCAAACCAAACTCTGATGAGCGCCGCTACTTGTGCTTTGGGTCTGGTCTTCGCCGTAGGCCTCTTGGCTAGCATGATGTATGTGCGAGCTCGCAAACAGCTGCGCCAGGACTTGCTGCAGTAAGTCCGATTGATTGGCCCATCAATTCAATTATCTATCCGCTTATTACACTAACCCACTCTTCTCTTCACCTTTCCATTAGTACCAGCTTCACTACAGCAGGCTATGGCCGTCATCAGAACGTATTTATTCGCTTTGATCCGCTCGGACGACCGCCGAGTGCCACCGGCTCCTACGCGACCATCGCCAGCCTCAACAAATATCCGGTGGAAACCAAAAAGTCGTGCAGCATATTTGACCGTAAGTCATCCATTCCCTCTCTCTTTACAATCCAATATTATGTTAGTCATCGAACACAAACTACTTATTTCCCTACAGGTTTCCGCAGCTCGCCCACGCCCACACCCTATGCCACCGCCCTGCTACCAATGGGCGACCAGACCGGCGAGACCATTTACTCGAAGCCAGAATCGGTCTGTCCCTCGAGGATATCCTACTACACCTCCTCGCAAGAAACCCAGGTGAGTCCCAATCTATCCAACTCCCTCTCTCTCTCTCTCTCTCTCCGTCGCTCTTTCTCTCTCTCTCTCAATCTGATGCCACACGATTTCCCTCCTGGGGGTTGACTGGCCTCAGGTAAATCAATGCCTTTGATATGTTGCGACACGTGCCATGTGCCAGGCACAAATGGAAATGAATCCTGTTGATGCTCAGCCTGCAGTGGGTCGGTCGGTTGCCTTGGCCACCAGTGCCAATTCTCTCCACTCTTCTCTACTCCAGTGCCAATTTGTGGCACTCACCAGACGATTGCTCCCAAGGCTGCAGCCATATCCAATACCACACTCGAGCCACCTTTCCTCGGCGATAAAAATTAAATTCTAATTTATATTTACGAGCTGATAAAGCTCCCGAAGTGCGTTAAACTCGAAACAACAGCCATTCATAAATATGCGACTCTCCCTTTTACTCGACAGGGTGCCAGGATGCCAGGCTGACAGGGTTGCCAGCTGCCTGGCTTCCAATGGGGTTGGGGCAAGTTTTGCGTGATGCTCACGTACCTTGTGCTGCGACCCACAAACCCATTGCCGGCAGAGGTAAATTACATAGATACGAGTTCTCATACGAGAGTGGGGATTTGACAGAGTTGGGGGAAGCGTGTGAGTCTGTTTAGATAAGCGAAAGGTGCTTCACAGACCCAGACAAATAAAGATAGGCAACTCTTGCTCTTCATTTTCCTTTCTTTGTTGTTCTTCCAAATGTTCGCTGAGTGCAATTATGGAAACTAAAGCTAAACTAACAGAAAGCCACAAATAAAGCCCCAAGACCAGCTATCAAACATCAAGCAAACATTGCATATACGAATCCCTCAAATTAATTTAATGATAGTCCACAAATCTTTTTATACATTCTCTCACTCATTTGCGACTCTCCTCTTACCCTCTTCTTCCCTCGCTGAAATTGTAACTTCTTGGCTTTGGCAAATCTGTCCCAAATTAGAATAAATTATTTAGCAGCTTCTTTGCTGTTGCTTTGACGAAAACTTTGCTCAGACCCAAGAGGAACCAACGCTTACATTTTTCCTAGACAACAAAGTCAGCCACCCCACCTCTTGTTTTCTTCCACTTTGCCGCCATCATCATGATTGTTTGGGCCATTTTCGTCACCATCTTCAAACGCCATTTCCATCGACGCATAATTAAATATTCAATTTCCATGGAGACTCTTCCGAATTTTTATTTGCCGCTTATTTCTCAACATCTCTCCATCAGCTTCCTGGCGTTGTCCTGGCTTTCGTTTGGCCTCAGCTATTTACTCCAACGATTTCTGTTTGTTTAGATTTCAATTTCATACTCATTATGGCAACCGTTTCGAGCCATTTGACTGAGGAGCAGAAAGACGAGGAAGAGCAGCAATGGAGCACATGAACAACCACAAATATGCCCAGTGAAAGGCACTTCCAAACATAGATATGTGTGATATCGGGATGTCTGGGATAATACTCATCGCCAAGAGTCATCCTCGTATCGCACTGAAGTATGCGACGGGGAATTAAATGAATTTCAACAAAAGCAGAGCCCCAAAATTGCATATGGCTCCGTCTGATGAGCTCGAGGAGTTTGGGTTGTTTGCCATAATTATTGCTGTTCTCTTGTTATAACCCCCATTATCCAACCCCTGTTACAAACTCATGTGACTGTTTGTGAGAACGGTAAGCGAAGTGAAGAGGCAGAGGGGAGATTCACTCATTTAGTCAAACAATTATATCCAAGTGCATACACTGAAATTTTGTCGGCCCTGATCTGCTCACTTGTGTGGAAATATCTCATTTGTGTGTGGCTTTCCCTACCCATTCCGTCTCCCGCTCTATTCTAGTGGCACTCCCTTTGGTTTCTATTAAATCAGTCTATAAATGTTGCCCAAATTGCTTTAATGTGCAGCGAAAGTTTAGCTAACGGCAGCTACAACAATTACAGCACATGGAAAAACATGGGTAAAGCGAGGGGAGGTTCGGTGGGTGGTAGGGAGGCAGTAGGGTAAATAACAATAAAAACAGCAGCGAACGGAAGCCAGACTACAGCTGTTGAAACATGACTTTGTGCTTGTTAAGACACACTTGCAAAATATTATTGCAACAGCAGGGGGGCAACTAACTGAGGGGAGCAGACAGCTAAGAGGAACTGGGGATTGAATCCAAGTTAGACTACACATCATGTTTAGTGGCAGCAACAAAAATCGGCAATGCGAAGCAAACATTGAAAGACTTTAGGATATTGGATCAGGAACACTCAACTCAGATGGAGATGAGGATAAGTTATAGAGGGGAAGGGGATTGTGTGGCTGGGTGCAGCAGTTGTAGATCTCAAGCACATGACGTGAATGGGTTAGAAGTTGGCACAAGATATACCTCAACGTCACGCGACGCATCAGAATCTCATCATTTGGGGGCAAAGTTGAAGAAGTGCGTGAGCAACCCAAGCGAAACATAGGAGCAAAGAATATGAGAGAACATAGAGCAAAGTTCGAAATTAATTTCCATGGAGCACGCCCCGGCACAGAGTATTTTATGGAGATTACGAGAGAGAGATTCGTGAAACCTAAACAGGTGCTAATTAAAAATGTTGTCGTCGCCCCATTAAAGAAATTTGTAAATCAACCTGCAAATGACGCGCGCAGCATGCGAAAAGTTAAGCCTGGGCCTTAACAGTGGCAAAGAGAAGGGGAAGTTGTACTGAGAACTGTCCCCCTTTGGGGCATCTGAGGTAAATGGGGTGCGGCACGTACGCCGTTAATGGATTTCTCAGTGTTGTTCTTCTGATTAAAACGCATTATTTACATTTGGAGCAAGCGGCTAGAAGGGGGACAATTTAATGTGCGACGGAGCTCAAGTCTGGCCAGGTGAGGGGGCGTGAATGAAGAGGGGGAGTCACCGTTGGCAAAGGTTGACAAATTGCATAGCCGTCAGTTGATTTTTTCTACATTTTTGCATTTTTTTTTCGTTGGTCTGTCCGCTCAAGTTTCCCCTCGCCCTATGAACCTGTCCTGCCGCTGGTCCAGTGTCAGTCTAGTGCCAAACTACGGCGGATGTTTTTGTCTGCCATTACACTATTGATTGCTTCCTGTCAGCCGCAGAGAGAGACAAGCGGAAGTCGCCAGCGGATGTTGCCTTTGTTGCCTGTTACCCAGTTAGCCAGTTATCCAACTGCTCGGCGAGAGTTTGGGCTGTCCACTATGGGCTTTGTGTGTGATTTGGCCAGCCGCAGTGCAGCACTTCGCATAAGCGGCTTCCAAAGCCACTAACTCTCTATGTGCTCATCCCCTTGTGGTATTAGATGCTTCCACGAGCAGCGATCCGGAGACTGTGTGCCCGCGGTTTTCGCACTATCCACTCGGACACTGGCTGTGTGTGTTTGTGTGTGTTTGGTTGTGTGTTTGGGTGTGTGTGGGTATGTGTGATTTTCCACTGATAAAATTGCGGCCAAGTTGTGTTCACTGTAAGAGGGGGGAGAGAACGGAGGCCATTAGTTGCACTGTTGCTTGTCTGTTAATCGGGATGCGTGTTAAAGGGAGATGGGGCGGGGTGAGCACTCAGCGAGATTGACAATTGTAATGAGCGAAAGGCAATGATTAGCCAACAGTAATAGAAGACAAAAGTCAATAAACTGGGTCGAAAGGTGCACTTTCATCCCCTCCATGGCGAATGAGGTCAAAACTTTAATCACTTGTATTGTAGTTGAGGTTTCGAGTGTTTGAGCAGCTCTTCCGTTGAAATGTCCATTAGAAAATGAATGAAAATGAGTTTAAACAATACAATAGAGGGGTGGGCAATTAAAAGACTGCTTGATTCGCTCGATTAAAGAGCATGGGGTTCGGGCAATCAAATTGCGATTATTGCTGACAAGCAATCATTCACTATTCATGAGTGTACTCGCTGGTAGTAACCGTCAGTAAGCGATCAATACATACGTATGTCCATGGATACCCATCAATCAATTCTGAATTGCCGTTGAATCATATTACGTGCATATGAAATGCTTCACAAATGTTGCCAAACTAATTGCATCAAAGTGTTGCCCTCCTGCCGGCTGCCCCAATGCGATGCAAAGGAAATTTGAGTGGACTCGAACCGGATGTGCAACAAATTGTATTATGGCTTTCACTGAAGCGCAATCCAATCAACAGTCAACTACTGCATAAATACATACATGCATATCGAACTGGGAATATGAAAATGATGAGATTCAACCTTACTGGGTATGTTATCATATGGATTCCACTTGATTGACTACAATAATTTTACATATTGTATGTAGTATCTTGCAGATAGAGTTTAACTTGAATAGCGAAGTATATTTCTTAATGTGCATTTACTTAATATATCATTAATGCCCTCAATAAAAGCATATGGCCAGTGACTCCAAATCAATCAAACTACTACTTCAACATGAAATTTCTGATTTGTTAAATTGAAGAAGAATTGTTTTGACATTGATTAACGTAATGAGTTAGCTAAATGTCAACTGAACTATCTTTTGAGCAATTATTAAATTTGAAATGAAATGGCTACCTTAAATTTTGAGTTTTCTTAAAAAGTTTGGCAAACTCCATGGAACTACGATGTGGCAACAATAACCGGCTTACTTCACAAATTGAAATATAAATGCGTGGCTACGAGCACAGCCCACCTACACCTCCTCCTCACCTCCCCAGTCAGCAAGTGTAACTACTACCGCCCACTGACACGCCCAGCGTGACACCTGGTGACTAATTTATGTTCATTAAGCAGGCGTTAAGTCGCCTTGAGAGCAGCTGCCGTCATCCTCGTTCTCGTCCTCGTCGTCGTTCATTTGCATACATTTAGGAGCAGGCGTGGGAGAAGTGGGGGTGAAGGGGAGTGGGGACAGGAGCCGAAAGCGTCGCACAACACAAAACACATACACAAGACACACACACAGAGCTGATTACTTGCTGCGCGCTGAGGTGACAAACCAAAATGTGTAGTTTCATGTAATTTTGGGGTCGCTGGAGCGGCTGCTCTTGGCCAGATTAATATGCAAATTCATGTTGCCAAAGGCAGAGCAGCAAAGAGTGAGAGAGTGAGAGAGGGTGAAGAGTGGAAAAGAGGTATGCTTTGAGCACAGATTATGCGTGTATAGGAAGTGGCAAGTGACAGCATTTCCAGCGCGCATAGAGACACAAAAAATCAATTTGCAACACGCGTCCCGCTCAACTCCTCGACGCTCTCCTGTTTTGTTGATTTTTTTGTATTTTTTATTTTTGCACTCTAATTTGTGTGTAGTGCATTTTCGTGTCCATGTCCGGAAATGGCGGGAATTAAAGGCAAAGTGGAGAAAAGCGAAGCTTAACCAGCGGCGCACACAAAACTGGTGGACTTGTAATCAGCTTGAGAGCTCAGCTGCTGTTGCCCCGACACCCATTTAGCTGGTTGGAGTCGACAAAATAAAAGCGTACACAAATCCCATCCAATCTATCAACATCATTTACGCAAATCGCAGCAGCAGCAGCAGTAGCAGCAGTAGCACCATAAATGCCACACTCTTGACTCCAGCTCCAGCAGCCGGCTCAGGTCAGGCGCCATCAGTGTCAGCTGCATTGGATTTGATCCAATCACGGATTCACGGAGAAACTTTATTAAATCGAAGCAAAAATGTTCACACTACTGAAAAATGTGGTGCCAAAAACTGACAGCAGCAGCGACAGCGACGGCTTAGGCCACCTAGCACCCAGCTCCACACAACTACAGGAAAAGACATAGAGAGAGAAAGAGAGACATAGGGAGAGACAGAGATAGACAGAAATGGAGACAGCGAGGCAGCCAGTCTGGCATTCAGTCAATTGTTGTTGTTGTTGCGTGGCTGTTGCTCAAACTTTTAATTACTCGTTCGCTCTGCCGAGACTGGGAATTGAGAGTTGAGAATTGGGATTGGGACGAAGAATCGGGGTCTGTGGACCAAGGGCTGGGGACTAAGGGAATGAGGGAATGGGGAATTCGCCCGCAGCTACAAGGCCACTAACATTTTTGGCATGGCTACTGGAATGTTACGCCTGTTTGGCCTTGCCCATTGCTCGTTCCGGTTCTATGTTGCCTGTAACCAGCTGTTGTTGCCAGAGCTGCATGCAAAGCGCCGTGTTTGCTTGGCTACAAAGATTTATCACTCAGGAACAGGGCGAAGGGACACGGGAACAGCTGCAACAACAACAAATCAACATCGATGGTTGCTTAACAACTTGAAAAATGAACAGTTTAGGTAGAAATAAGATAAACCAATCAGCAAATCGATGGAAACTGGAAGAAAGTTAAAATCTTTAAGACAAGAAAAGGTCAGAGAAATGATTACAAGCTAGATCAGCGTAATATCTGAGAAATTATTTGATCTATATACGCTACAAATAGAATAAAATAAATAAGAAATGGTTTCAACAATATATGAATAAAAACAGAAATTATACAAAATGATTTTAAAAAGATTTCACAAGTAGTTTTAATTTTTTGCTTATTACATTTGTGGAATCGTTTGAAAACTATATTGAAACAAGTGCAAACTTTTCAAGCAGCCCACTGAAAAGCGCAGCACACTGTCAGTTTTGCAGTTGCAGTTTGAAAGGGTATCGGTTGGGTTTGGGTAACCAAATGGGTGGTTTTGGGCTAGTTTGTTATACAGTACGCCATTGAAGCAATGGCTAAGATGGGTGGAGAGGATGTGCGCGGTTTGTCAGCTTGGCGCGCTGATGATGGAGTGCGGCATTGTTGCATTTTAATTGAAATTTCTTTGTGAACTTGCCGCAACAACAACAAGACCAACGAGAAACAATAACTACAAAAGCAACAATAAAAACAACAACAACAAGAACGTGTCGCCAGCAATCACACAATGCAACAACAAAAATAAAAGAAGGAACAACGCCAAAGTAGCAATAATAATGAATGAATAAAACGAATAACAACAGCAGCAACACCAACAACAACAACAATTGTTATGTGCTTTCATTGCTATGGTTTGTTGCTGGACTTCTTGCTGGTGTTGGTGGTGTTGCCGTGTTGCAGCTGCCCATTGGCAATGTGCGCAATGACAGCCAACGGCAACTCAACCGTAGCGTATCGAGGTCGGGGTCGTCATTGTGGGGGCTTTTAGGGGTATTTGGTATGCGTGTTGGGGCTGTTAATGTGGGAGGTGAGGCGTGGGGTGTTGTAGGGCATGGCGACGGTAGCGTTCACATTTTTGCGGCACAACGCATATATAATAATAATAAATTTCGCATATTGCTGCCGCTTCGGCTATTATTTTTCATAAATGAAACTGTTGTCAATGGAATGTTGATTTTGCTTTTGTTGCTGTTATATCTGTTGTTGCTGCTGTTTGCAATACTTGTTGTTTGGTTTTTTGTTACCGCTTTATTGTTTTACCACCCACTGGCTGAATGCCTGGCATTGCGGTCACTTTATTGTTTGCCGGATATGGCCAACACAGTTACCAGCTCAAAAAGTGGCCAGGAGCGAAGTCGGCAGCCTCAGAGAGGTGGAAAGAGGGAGGGAGGGAAGGAGGGAGAGAAGGGGTGTTTGGGCCGTCGGCTGGCTGGCAACCACGTAATTTGCCGTCTGATGAAGATTTACGACATGAAAGCCACAAAATAAACGCCAGAAACACAAAAGTACATAAAGCAAAAAGCCAATAGACTAGAGGATGCGAACACCACCCCCTATCATCCGCATCTTTCCCCTGAACACTCCTAAATGATGGATGCACTGCGGCTTCGCAAGACGGCAACCCTATCGAGCTGAGCAGGCTGTCGCCTCCAAGTAGGCGGATTTTACTGCTGGCCATTTATGTAAATTAAGCAACAAAATGAACAGATTTGTCTCGTGTTTATTAGCCAAGCTGTAGCCAAAACTTGGCCATAACTCACACGCATCCAAAGCCAATTGCAACTGGGCCCAGGAGACAGCAGCCCAAGCTAAAGCAAAAGGCAACCTGATGAAAAAGAATTGTGCACACTCAGATCAACTCAAATGAGTGGGCGTGAAAGGCCCCCAGGACCAGGCACATATGTAGCCAAGTATCTGCTCTTAATGGCAACCCTATTAGAAAAAGAGATACACGGAGAGAGAGAGAGAGAGAAAAAGAAGAATGGGAAGAGGGAGAGAAGCTGATTAGGAACACGGCTCCTCCAGCTGGCCCAGGGACTCACCTCCCCATGCCGTTAACCCACTTTGTCTGCTTATGAATACTTTGTCCAATAAATAATTCATGCTGCAAGTAAGTTGTCTGCCCGGAAATGCCGCCCAGAGTGTAGCTCGAGTGGCCAACTGGGCGTGCACCCTACGGATGTGGATGATTGTGAATGATGGTGGTGGTGATGCGAGTGTGGTTGCGGATGCAGGCAGCTGCTGAGTGGCAGAGAATACAGTGGAAACGGAAATGTAATGCAATTCACGAGACCAAATCAACGGTTGAAGGAGCCTGAGAAGCAACCCAAACAAATTGAGAGCTACACATGTATCCAACTATAGAAGATTACTAGGCGTGTGGGCCGTCAACTGGATCAGGTGTGGGCAACGTATTTCAATTAGAAGTTAAGACCCTAATTCAATATAATCTGCCTAAAAGGGAAAATATGGAAAACCCAACTGTTGCCGTTAATTTTCAAATTCGTTTGAATTACTAAATTACTTTTAGCGTCGCATTAATATTTAAATACAATAATATTTATTTAAGACCAATCTGCAATTTTCAGTTGGTTCAATTATAAACAAAAGTTGATAAATACTCGTACTGACTGGCACTTGGATTCATTTATTATCACACCATAATCATTGGCTAACTACACACGAGTAATGTCCTGGCTCTGTAGCAGTACATAATTTTATATTCAATAATGCACGGATGAATTTGTGTGCGTATTTGAATATCATCTATAATTAGGCAAAATGGAATCAGACAAACAACGTTTTACATTAAGGTGAGTTGAATTGTTTTAGTTAATAGATTTGAGCAATTGGAGAGCTTAGTTAGTGGCTACTTAGATTGGCTAAATTCAATAAGGTACACACGCTGTCGAGGGTCTACTGCAGCTGGATGAGCGCATGGCCGGCATGCCTTTTATATAGCATTAGCGATATGTTGACCAGGAACGGGGCTGCCAGCCAGAAGATGCGCGTCCCGATGCCCGTTGCCTCGCGATAAAAGATACCCGAGGCGCCGCCACGGCCCGTATTACAAAAGGACTCCTCGCAGCAAGAGGTGCAGGCATAGAGCTTAGTCCTCTCACCAATAATAATGCAGCCTGGCTCACAGTTAACGGCACAGCGACGGTCCAGTGACCACATCTTTGGCGGACTGGTCGAGTTCTCAGTGCTGGTTGTGTACGAGAATCGCTTGACCTGTATATATAAGCCAGATTCGAGATAAATCAGTCCATATATATATAGTATAGTATAGTACTTCTTACCATGCAGATAAACTCCTCGCCCTGGCACTTCTTCATTAGCGTCGTATCGTTGCGCTCGAGGACATCCACACAGGCGGGGCCATCGTCCATCGTATCGCAGGCATAGCACCAGAGTTTGTTCACCCGCTCAATGGCCGCTGCCGTGCGATGTATGTGCCCGCTGTTGGTCAGCGATGTGCTCAGGCTGACCGCCGAGCTAGGGCCCGATCCTGGCGAGCTGGTGCCAGTGCCAGTCACTGTCCAATGGGATTTTTGCATTGAATTTATTGATTTTCCCCGCGCGAAGGTCGAAGGAAGGCACACTTACCGTTATTAACGCAGGCGGTGAACACAATGGACCAGGAGGTCAGCACAAAGTAGGCGAGCGTCAGCAGCGCTCTGGACATGATTTGGCCGCCAACTGGGCCAATTAACGCCTTCCCAGCCAGCTAAACAACTAATTCTATATACCCTTGCAGCCGCCGATTAATCTTTGTTTATATGCAAATCCAGCAACTGACACTTAGCAGCAAATGTCAACCGAAGCAGACTCGGCGATAAGGACATGCGCACTGCAATCAACCTGCCAAAGGTTGGCAGCCCCAATCCAGCTGTTAGCATGGACACGAACCCATGCATTTGTTGCTTCATAAAATAAATTGCCTGCTTCCGAGACGAGATACATATTATTAAAACAAAATAAAAACACATTTGTTTAAGAGACAATGTAAGTTTTATTGGCCTGTCCGCCTTAAGGTAGTATCTCATAAAATTTTTATAAGAACTTAAGAGTTGTCATTCCAAAATATTTGTCTTAATTTTTGACCGACAATCCGATAAAGCAAATATTATAAACGATTCATTTTAATAGCTTTGCCCAATATAATACTATAGAATATTTATAGGGGCTAAAAATTTTGAAAGTCCCACAACTATAAAAACTGATTTCAATAGAGACGCAAATACTGAAGTGCTTGGCGGCTCTGCATGGGATAGAGTTCGCCAATGTTGTACATAAGATCAACGATGTGGGTCGGACGCAGCATGCGCCAGGGCATAAACTTCAGCGTCTTCTTATCGCAGTGTATATCCTTCTCCAGTTCAAGTGGCAGCGGGACCTCGTTGTACAGCATTCGTCCGTCCACACTGCGCTGCAGGGTGCAGGGCAGACCAATCTGATCGGCGAAGCACTTGAAGAGAACGGCACGCTCGAACTGGCATCCGCTCTGCACCTCACCCAGTGGTATGAAGTTGGTGTGGAAGACGTGACGCAGATTCTCCAGATGGCAGCGCACTGTGTGGCGGGAACACTCCTCTGTGGTGTTCAGATCGAGTATCTTGATATCCACGCTCATAACGCTGTTCACCGCCTCAGCAATAATCTTGCTGCGCTTGGCCACGTTCTCAAAATCAATGCTGCGCCTGATTTTATCAGGATTCTCCACAAGGCCGTTTAACTAGGGACGAGCAGTTAGCAGTTATTTATTGCAATCCGAGCATAGTTCTTAATTGGATTGATTGTGGTACCCACTGCCAAAGTCTCATTCAGTGCCTCCAGAAATTCGGGTAGCTTTCGGTCGCCGGGTCGTTTGCAGTAGGCCCATTTCTGATCGCCACCGATATCAATGTCATGCAGGCAATGTAGCGGCACACAAATCAGATCTCTCTCATCCGCTGAGGGGCGGTCAAAGTTCACCACAAGCACGGTCTCCAGCGGTGAGCAGTCTTGCCTCAATATGTTCTGAAAGCACCGGAAATCCTCAAACTTGCGCTTGGACACATAGAAATCCTTTCCAGCGGTTACGTCCGTAAAGCCCAAATGGTTGCGAATGCAGAACTTCATGGTGGGGCACTTGGCCAGAATGCTTTCAATAGCCGGACCCCAGGTGGACACACAGAACGCGTGCTTCTGGAAATTCATCAGTCTGCAGGAAAAAAAAACAATATCTGTTAATCTGTATATAGAAATAAATGTTGCCAGACGTTGTAAGAATTGCAATCTGGTCGATGCACTTACACCTCGAGAATGCCGCGATCAATGTACGCATCTACGAATTCATTGAAACGTGTGGTCTGCAGTATAAAATTGGTAACAGCGGTCTTGACCAGATTCGATACGGATTTTAGGGCTCGCTTGATCGAGGATACGATATAATTCTTCATAAGAATCTCGCGAACAGGCTCCTCGTCGACAATGGTGCACAGGCAGCGGAATATGTTGTGAACCAATATGGAGTGTGCATATGAGCCCTACAATTAGGAAAATTATAATCGAGAAGAGGCAATCGACAACCGATATTTGAGTGATTACCATAAGTAATTGGGCAATTTGCTCAGTGAGTGGTGTATATTCGCCCATTATCTTGCGATGCTCATCATTCTGTGCCAAAGTCTCGATGATCGCCAGCACCGACAATATTAGATCTATCGATAATTCCGGCAATCCTTGCTCTATGGTCTTGGCAAGTGCTTCAGAGATGTTCATCACCATTAGCTGGTCAGCCGTGGTTCGGAAAGAACTGACCAAGAGATTCCCAATGAACTCGGCGGCCTGTTCGCGGGTCTTAATGGACACCTCCGCCGCTTGCACCAGGGCCACAAGCTGATCCAGTACCCCATGCTCGTACCCGGCGACAATGGTGCGCAGTGCATCCGGATGCACAGTCATGCGATTTAAACCCATGATAACGAATGGTGATGGCTCCGGCTTGCTCTTCAAGAGGCACTTGAGGAACATCTCAGTAATTCTGGCACTGTGGATGCGTGCCAGATAGTATTGATATTTAGCCGCCTCGGCGAATATGGAAATGATGGTACACACGACTTCTGGAGCCAACATGTCTACGTCTTCGTTCAGATGCTCCACCATCTGGTCAAAGAGATTCTGTTCGAAGAAGAGCTTCGTCATTTTCTCGGACCGCAACGCCGTCGCTAACACCTCGATAATGCCAAGAGCATCGGGTGCCTTTGGATTTGCACAGAAGGCTTTGACCAGCTGCTGCAGCACGAAGAAACAACGATGCAGTGGCTCAAAAACACTCTCCTCGCTGGTGTCGGCCAGTAGAATTTTTAGTACCTTAATGGCGGCCAGGCGGATTTGCAAGAAATCGTTGGTCAGCTCACAGATGACACGATCTATGGGGAATCCGGGTAGAGCGGTAAACTCCAGCATCTCTTTGGCGCTTTGAATCTGTAGAATTTTATGCATTGCCTCAATGGAATTGACCACAGTGTCGGGATTATCCGAGCTAATGAAAATTATCTTGAATTTTTCTAGAAATTCAACATTTTCGAGTGTGTTCTGCGCGATTTTAGGATCGCGCAGGCACAGATTTATTATGTACGTCAGATACTCGATGCAAAACTCATCGATCTCCTTCAGATAGAACCTGAAGCCCACCTCGAGCAGCTGTGCCGTTTGCTCAGTTTGAAGCTCGCCCAGTTGCGTGCGGTCCATCAGCACCGTGATAAGGTACAAGGTAAAACGACGGATAATCACACTATCCGCATTAATAAATAGATCCTTGTATACCAGCAACTCCAACAAATTTTGTTCCTTCAAATCCTCTATATTCTGGTCCGCTTTGCGAGCAAAGTCTGCTAAGTGATTGAGTACTTGCTGCACTACCGGTTCCTCCTTGGAACTTAACAGCAGCAGACTCGTATCAAGGTTTTTCATAATCACAGTCAATGGCGAAAACGAATTTTCATTGGTTTTTGTACGATCTGTATATTGCGATCGAGCATCATATATGCGCTTCGTTCCACCCGACATTTTTTTATAAACTCTAACATATATATTTATTTTAAAATTCTACAAATGTATTCATTTCATTTGATTGAAAACTCAGTACAGTATGAGAAACATTCATAAGGAAATTACAGAATCAAAATCATTTTGACGTTTTTCCTTAACGGAGTTGGTAACTTTATCTCGACAAAATAAATTTGAAGGAATTTGGAAGCCTTTTTAAAAAATTTTTCATATTGTATTATTTCGTAGCAGTGAGCATTTTATCATACAGCACTTCTGACAAACACCATAAATTCTTGATCATTCTCGTTTACGTTGATTCCATATCTAATTTAATAAAACTCCACGAGTACATTTTAAAATTAATTTCTTCAAATCATTTATTTAATTTAAATTAACATTTACAGGAAATATATGCCGATCGATGCAACCATTCAATTATACCAAGTTGGCAGCACCGAATGCAAAGAAATCGTATTAACTGCAGAACGAATAGGGTTGCAAAACGGAACGCAAAAGAACGCGACGCTTGTGTTTGTTCGCTAACGTACAAGAAAACAGAAAAAAATAAAATAATTTCAATTGCGCTGAGTACAATTTAAAAGAGCAAATATTTCGCAATAGAAAGCTAGCTTTTCAACTTAACAACTACAAACATCAAAATTGATGCGCGTGAACAAATTGGCGGGCAAGCAATCAAAAAATACAAATAAAATGATCAAAAAAGGTCGGACCAATACCAAGCGCAACAAAAAAACCAAGGAGAAAGAAAATGAAAAGCAGCAGCAAAGTGGCGTCCCAGTGGCGTCCGATGCTGTTGCTGCCACCGACGCCGCCAACAACAACAAACATCTCTCCGTGGGCCATGGGCCCATGTTCACAATCTTCTCGAATGCGCAGCTCAACGAAACCTTCCACAAGCGCTACAGCAAAGAGCTGCAGCAACTGTACTCCAAGGTGTGTGGCATGTAGCATATCCTACAGTTCTTGTTGGGATAATATCAATATTTTCTTTTTATCTGATTGACTCTTTGCCACAGATCGGTCACGATGCGTTTATGTTCACATTCATCAAGATGTTCAAAACGGTGCTGGAGGCGGATGAGGGCAACGAATGTGGCAATACAGCGCTTGCATTTGTTGCCAAGTTCGTCACTAGCTTCGAATCGGAAAAAACACATCCCATATTGGCCGAAATAATCTGCTGGTTGCTATCGGTGAGTTGTTACTGTACTTTTAACAGGCATTCAGAGCATTTGTTTACAATTCTTTTATTTTGTGTGTTGTTTCGCAGACAATTTCGAGTGTACCGAAAATACGCTATCGTATTTGCTTCTCGGTGAATCTCATATTAAAGCATATGGGGCCATATGCGGCATTGGATGACTCTCAGTGCGATCAAATTCTGCACTACATGCTGGATCGTCTGAAGGATGTGTCAGCGAGTGTGCGCAAGGAGGCGGTGCTGGCCATGCAGCGATTACAGGTGCCTGATCATCCAAACGATCCCGTGCTGTGCGCCTATCAGTTCCACCTCTGTTCGGATCCCTCATCCGGTGTGCGGCAGTGCATCATTTCGTGCATGGGCCGCAACTATCTGACTCTGCCACACATCCTGCAGCGTCTGTGGGATGTGGACGAGAGGGTGCGACGCCACACCTACGTCCACCTGTGCAATTATCCAGTGCGCTCGTACAAGGTATCGCAGCGTCTGACGCTCATCGAGCGCGGCCTCAACGATATTGCGGAGAGTGTGAAGAAGAATGTCATAAGGTATATGCTCAAATCGTGGATAGAGTCGTACCAGCAGAACTACATACAGCTCACGGCTGCACTTAAACTGGATTCCAATGAGGAGGAGCTGATGCGCTTCAAACGCGTCGCTCGACAAATGCTGCTCGTAATCTTCAAGAAGGAAGACAACTGCAAGTTGCTCGCTCAGCTGCCGCTGACCGAGGACTGTGATCTGCATCGGTGTGTGCCACACGAGGCACTCACTGTGGAACTGGTGCTCTACTGGGAGTGCCTCAGCGGCTACCTGCAGCAGACGCAAGCCGAGGAGTTCGAGGAGGTGCTGCCCGAGCTGAGCGTCTTCTGTGATATGTAAAAAAGTAGGTTCCAAATGAATAATATTTGTATATGAATACATATTCACAAATTGTTTTCGTAGGTACTGTCAGTTCCAAAAGCCGGATATGGACAAATTCGCACAGATTGAGTTCCAGTGCATACTGCTATCGCTAGTGGAAATACTGCAGTCCTATGATCTGGGCGATGAGATTGGACGCGAGAACCTCAAGGAGTTAATCACTCATCTGCTGAAGGAGTGCTTGCTCGATCACAAAATTGTTGCCGTCCTGGTGCGCTGCGTGGAGCAGCTCGTCAGCGATGTGGGTGCACGTATGCAGTACTTCATCGAGATCATCTACGAGATTTGCGAGCTTAATGCCAAGCAGAAAGATTTAGTGCACGATCGCGAGTTAACCGATAAGCTGCTGGACAATGAGGACCCCTCGTTGGTTATGAAGATCGGTTCGTTAAAGGTGAAAATACTTGACCTCGAGGAGCAGGAGGAGAATTTTGTGCGGCAAAAGGAGTACATTCGTGCGCAGGCCGTCAACGATGAGCGAATGGCCGTGCGGGACGAATACAAGGATCTCATCCAGCCGCTGCTCGTTAAGCATGGCGACCTAGAGCTACCCACACGGCCGAAGCTGTCCAAGCAGGAGCGCGTGCTCAAGGGCCTCTACATATCCTTTCATATGGTCGCCTCTGAGCATGTGCACTCCCTAAATCCCAGCATATGTAAACTCTATAAGGTAAGTTGTTTAGAATTCCTTATTTGTTGTGTGTGTAAAATCTATTTATGGAATATTCACATTGCAGGACTTCATATGCCGACATTTGGCTTCGACAGAAATGGACATCTTTGAGTGGGCCATGAAGTGCGGCACCACGTTTAGCATTATGTACGAGGCGTACACGAAAGAGGTTTTCGACGTACTCATCGACGAGTTCTACAAGAACAACAATTTGCGACTCTGCGAAATATCGGCGCAATGCGTTTGCGAGCTTATGGACCATTATGGTGTGGAATATTTTATCGATCTGAATCAGTCGGTGGCCGGTGGTCAGGTTCAGCCACCTAAATCGAAGCGTCGTATGCTGTTTACCATGCAGGATTTCGATGGCGAGGAGGACCGCAGTCAAACGCAGAGCAGCGAACAGAATGCGGACATTATCAACATGATGGGCTTCTTTATCGAGAAGGTCGTCGACCAGGGCATCCTACTGGCCATTGTGCGCGGTCTGTGCCGCTTGGTGTTGCGCGGCCAGCTCGACAATCGCACCGATGTGATTGAGAAGTTGCTGAAGCGCTACTTCAATCCAAACACGGGTAAGCTACAAGAATATTTATTACTGGTGCAAACTGAGCAGCGTTCTTTGTTTTATTATTATGCGCAGAGCCCATCATACAGCAGGTGCTAGGCATGTTCTTTGAGAATATTGTCGAACAGAAGCAGCAACATTTGATTCAGCCTTGCCTGCTACCCATTGTGTGGTCTGTGATGAACAGCAGTTACGACTCACTGCTGCACGACGTGCTGCCGGATCATGTAACCCGGTTCTTCATCGATCTGACCGTGCAGGAACACAATACGCCACAGAGCAATTTGCACAATCGTATTGCGCTCAGTTTTCTACACTACATTCATAACTACTACACGGATCGAAAGGAGATGTGCCGCCTGCTGGCCAAAGAGCTAACCACTCTCACGCTGAATGTGCTCAATTGTCCGCAGCTGAAGGATGAAATGCTCGAGCTGGCCGACAAGCTGATCAATGTAAGTGAAGCTTAACGGAAAACCAACTCTCTTTTAAATCTTTAAATGCTTTGGCAGAGTGAACTGGAGCCGCGCATGATCAAGAACATTATGAACTTCAAGGACATGCTTAACGGCAAGTTTAATCCGCCCGCACGCAACCCAGATGGCAACAACAGCGACGTGGATGCTGAGGAATGTGAGAGCATCACGGCCATCACAGCACCCGGCTATGAATGTCCAGCGTCAGCGTCAAGAGGCAGTGGAGCAGTGACAGCGATGTCTGACAGCGAACAGGCACCAGCCATAATCATAACCGAAGCATCAATTGTAACAGAAGTCGCAGCAAGCGAAGACAGCGTGGCAACGCCAGCACCCACATCTGTGGAGCCTGTGCTGACCACTTTTGGTGCAAAGAATCAAGTAGGTATTCGCTTCCTACGGCGTTCGCTTCACAATTCTATCACAAACTCGGATACGGAGAGCATATGCGGCCCACAATCACCAGCGTCGTCAGTGGCTAATGCGGAAATAGTCGAGCAGCAAGAGGGAGCTAGGGCAATAAGTCGTCGCATGATGCGTAGACCCAAATCGAAACTTCAACTGGAAAAGGCAATGGCGCGAGCCTCAACCACGCCTGAAAAGCAATCAGAGGCTCCCAAATCCTCAGAAACCTTGTCGGAAACAGTAGTTGAACCAGAATCGGTATCTGCAGAAAGTCATAGTCCTGTTAAAGAGCACACGGTAAGTTGAATGCTAAAATTAGAGTTTAATGCGATGTTTATCTCAACTGCCCCTTTTACAGCACAATGATTCGGAGGTGATTGTGGACTCGCCCACATCCGCATCCCCCAATGAGACGACAACAACAAAAAACGCGAGTCGCCTGCGTTTGCGTCCGATGCGCAAGCGAAATGCAACCGGCAGCGGAGGCATATCTCGAAACACGCCACCGGCCAGCAGCAAAGTGAGTACCACGCGCTTGCGTTTGCACCTCTAGGCAGGCACAGAGTCCAGAACCAGACCTAGACCCACACCCAGGCAGACAATAGCAGTAGTTTCCCTAAATTTAATATGTAGCCTGTAATTGTTCAAAAAAATTCTACTGAACGAAAGATAAAATTAGCTTGCAAAATAAGAAAATAGAAGAAAAGAAAAAAACAAGTTAAAAACAAATAACAACAATCAACAACCTAACAACAAAAAAAGCTGTTTTCTTTCAACCAACAAGTTCTAATCTATTAAGATTTATTAAGCGATATCTGCAGACCTTGTTCTATATCTGATTTAATATTAAGTTTTCGATTATCGGTATGTTTTCCTTTTTCACTTCCTTGAGTTATGTTCTTCTTGTTTTTCTGCAGCGCAAAGTTCTACACCTCGAGATCCAAACGCCGTTGCGCAATGGACGCAAGCGCTTGCTTCGAAACACGAAGGGTGGAACGTCAGCGCGCATGTCACAATCCTCCGATTCTTCGCTACGCATATCGCCGAAGCGTAAACAGCAGCGCCTGGATGCCAAAACGCCCAGAGAACATAGCAGCGTGAAGGTGGCGCCAGTGGGAATTGAGCAGGTCACTGCTAGTCCGACAAACAGCAGCACATCGTCAATCAAAGAAAATACAGAACCAGCATCAGCATCGGCACTAGCACCATCAACAAAGTCCAGCCTCAGAACGCCGCAGACGAGCCGGCGTTCTTCCGTAACGCAGTCGAGCACCAGTACGCCTGTTCCCAGAATGGTAACGCGAAATTCGGCACGCAAACAGCGCTTGAGTTCCATGGTGATGACCCGAAAGCGCTTGTCCCAAGAGCTGAGTATGACCGAGGGTCATCCGAAAATGTCCACACCAAAACGCGTGCGGCAGGACAAAGCAGCGAATACCAGTAGCTCAAAGACAACAACAACGCGGAAGTCGCGGGCGGCCACAGCGGAAGTCGCAACCGTGGCACAGCGAACTCGACGCAATTATCTGTCCCCGCCCAAACCCATTTCTCAGTAATTAAAATTTTGACTTTTGGTTTTTTTTTTTATTGTTTTGCATTAAGATAAATTTAAATGTTGTGCAAGATTTCCATGTTCGTTGCAACTTTGTATATTTGATGTATATTACGTAGTCTTGTTTAAATAAACCCATTTTAAACATAAAACCCATCTGCACAAATATGTCCAGTATGGGTTTAAATATAAATATTTAATTCTTTTGAAAAGATGCAAGCCAATTACATGCTTAGAAGAAAATGAAAGCACACTTTTAGGGCTACAACAATATTATTTGAATTTGTTCGCTGGAATCTAAAATAAACAAGTATGAGGTTCTCTTTAAGCACGCCGAAGATTGCATACCCTTGTAGAACGTAGTTTGAAATATTTGAATGTGCTTCTAGGATTTAAACAAATTTTATTTATGTTTTCTGTCTCGACTGGCTTCGATCGGAATAATCCACATTTTACCAATGAAAATGTATCAAAATACCATATTTCGAACCCCCAACTTAAAACTCATATTTCGTATTTGTTGTTGTAAGATGTATTTATTTTGTGAATGTTATTATATGATCCTGTGAAACTGGCGATATAGAATTACGTAATACAATTAAAAACTAGAAACATTGCATTATTAGATAAGTACATGCTGAGATTCCTTCATACAATAGGCAAAGAGTATGAATTGCTACATTAGAAACATTTTTTGAGCAGTGATTGAGTGAAGAGTTCAATATAAAAATGTCTTATAAGCTATGGTATAATTTAATATACTGTAGGATACAAAATATCCGAAGCGAACTTGAAATGCTTATAAGATACAATTAGAAACATACGATAAGGCCCAAAGCAGGTTGTTTTAAACAGGCACATGGTTTGCGTATAGGATATATACGTATATATCTATGTATGTATGTGTATATATAAATAAATATATATATATGTGAGCAGCTGCGCATGCCTTAGAGCTTGACCCCCTTCAGCTTGACGGCTGTTGTATGCAAATCCCATTCCTGTTGCTGCAGCGCCTCGTACGCGGCAGACAGGCTGAGATTCGCATCGGCGAGTATATTCTGCAGCTTGATCAGCTTGATGGACTTGTGCACATCCCAGTTGATGAACTCCAAGGCGCCCAGACAACGTGTTGGCGTGCTCTGTGGGGATGTAGGGAGAAGAAAGGGATTTGATTAAGTTTAAAAGTTGAAATTTAAGTCGCCATTCTACTCACATCCTTGCCAAGCACTTTGACCATGATACGCACTTCATCCGAGTCGACGCCGCGTTCACACCCGCGCGGCTTCTTGTCGGAGAATTCAAGCAAATCCTCACAGCTCACGGAATTGGAATCGGCCAGGCGAGCCGCTGTCGCTGCAAAATATTCCGCCTCCGTTTGAGCCTTGGGCTCAGGCGAAGATGTTAGATGGCCTGTGACGGTGCTGGCATCGTTGCCGTTGATTGAGTTGCGATTCATGGCCAAGTTGACGGAGGCGCGCACCTTCTTGAAGAGCGCATTGGCCGCCAGCTCATTGTCTGCGATAGCCAATCGGCGGCCGCTGCTCTCCTGAGGCTCTTCTGCTGCAGCTGCAACTGTTGCCGCAGCTGCAGCTGCCGCTGCTGCTAAGGCAGCTGTTGGCGCCATCTCCTGCGGAACGGCCACGGAGTCCAGTGTCGTTGAGCTGCTGCCGCTTGCCAGTGGTTTGTCCAAATTGCGTAACTCATCGTCGTTTACATAGAGACCCGAAATTTGGGCTGGCTCGAAGCCGACATCCTTGCTTTTGTTATAGTGCTCCTTCTGTATGGAGAAATTATAGAAGCCATCGGTCACGTCCGGCGACTGCAGCACACCCTCCTTGCCCATGTCCGCCTCTAGTATGGACTCGAACTGCAGCGAGGCGCTATCCGTCAGCCCGGCTGCATCCGCCGGCATCAGTTTGTCCAGGTTCTGGTACGTATGCGCCGTTGCTCCGCCCGTCACAGCGGGCATATTCTCATATTCCCTGGCCTCGGAGCAGCGACGGCGCACGCTGCTCGAACGCACGGCTGCCACCACCTCAATGGAACGTGCCGACGACTGCTTCTTCTGCAGCTGGTGCTGCTGTTGTGGCGAGGCGTCGCCGCCTCTGTTGCCCGCCTCTTCGCCGCAATCAGTCAGTTTGCTGAGAGTGCGCTGCAATCCGTTGGCCGGTATGATGAGCGGATATTTGCGGACGTGCCGTTTGGCGCTAGTCTTCACCTGCTTCTTGCCCTCGCGCGATGGCAGCGGCAGGGGATTCGCCTCCTGTGGCGGCTCGGGGAACTTGTAGCTGGCGTGTGTCATGTAGCTGGGACTCTCGCAGGATTCGTTGGGACCCAGCGAGTTGCGGTTCTCATCGTTCTGTCTCTCCGCGCTCGTCTGTTCCGCTCGCCGCACACGCTGTGCAGCAGCGCCACGTGTCGGCAGCGTCATAGGCCGCGGCGGCTGCAATTGCTGCAAGGGACGCACATTCTCCGACCCGGCAGCGGTGACACAACTCGAGGATGCCACAGGCTCGAGGCTCGAATGCCCGGCCCCCACGCCCTGATGACTCATCAGCTGACTGCCCAGGCGACGCGGCAGCGTCTTGGCGTTCATCAGCTCGAACTCGTCGGTGTCCATGTGGCGCAGTAGTGTCGCTGCCGGACTGGGACCGATGTCCAGCATGCCCTTGCGCTCGATCAGACTGTTGTACGCCTCGCGACCCTCTTCGCCAATCAGCGTCTGTTGTAGCGAGTTAAGGAAGAAAGCCACAAGAAGAAAAGATAATAAAAACATAGAAATGAAAATAAATAAAAAATGTAAATCAACGAAAGTTTCTTAACACAATTAAATACAAATTAATAAATAACTTAGTGATAATTGTAGTTAAGATAACCTGTTAATCAAATGTTAGTGTTTAAATAAGTCAATATATAAAATAATTAAAATAAATTGCAATTACTTTGCTAAGTTATCAGTTAAATTAATTAATAGACAATTCATAAGCGTTTTTTTTTTGTTGTTTTTGGTTTCCTTTTGTTTTATTGAATCCCTTTAAATATACACAACGTTTTTTGATTACCAATTGGTTTTTTTGTCTGGTTCTTAGAATGCAAACTTGTAGTTTTTTCTTTTCTTTTCATTTGTTTATAAATATGTATATATAATACTTGGAAAAAAGAGTTTAGTTTTTAAATATTAAGATTTTAAGTTAAGTTTAGATTTAAGTTTAGGTTGGTTTTTTGTATTTCATTTGGGTTGTGAAACGCTTCGAACGCATGCTTTAGAATATCATTTTGTAGTATAAGTTGTTGGTTTTTATTATAGATATGAATATGTATATGAATTTGTATTTATATATGTAAGTACGATTAATCGTAGGTATATAAACTTTGTATATAAGTAATTTTGTGTGTTTGCTTTCACTTCGTATCTTCGATTTTGGTTAACTTGATCAATAAATGCATAGAATGCGACAAATCGTTTAATACGAATACATTATTCAAGTATCTAGTGCTCATTTTGGGAGCTCTATAAAAATGTAGACGCCTGAAATTTCGACAAACGAACAACTCTGATTACAAACCGTTCGTCATATTTCATATTTAATATTTAGTACATCGTTTTCGAAGAATCAAATACTCTTCACTTATAATATGCTCGAGGAGATAGATCTCCTGCAATTCCATACAAGTTGTATGAGTGCTTTGATCAGATTTCTTTTTTAAATATATATATATAGTAAGTATATCAATTATATGGTATAGTAAAAATGCAAGCGTAAGGATATGGCACATAATACACATTTGCATATGTACGAATTTTTGTTATAGCTTTTTTCTTTCTTTCTTTTTTTTTGTTTCTTTTCTTTTTTTTTTTTTTTTTTTTTTTTGATTTGGACAATTTTCATTTATAAATTAGGCAAGTTTTATTTTTTTGGGGATGTTGTTTTCGATGGAGGATTGTCAACGGTTTTGTGTGTCTGTGTGTAGAGGATGACTGTTGTTGTTGTTGCTGTTGTGTGTGTGTGTTTTGTTCTTTTTTTATACCCTGTCCCTTATATGAGGTGTTCTCGAATTGTTCAAGTGTCTAGTGTTTAATGAAATGCTAATACTGATACTCTTTCTCTCTTCAATATATTCTTCGTTATCTTGCTGCGAGGACGCCGACAACCAAGCTCTGTTTATGGATGATATTATGATGATATCTGAGATCTGTAGGAAATTGGATTCATTGGTTGTTGCCAGCGTCATTCATACAAGCTGCTTTTCTGAATTGAGTAGCCTTGTCCTGGAAGCCTTTACGAGTGTTACGCTATGTGTTTGTTATCGAGTCTTTTTTATTTTTATACTCTGATACCGAAGGTGGAATAAATATTAATATATTATCTTCACTTTCATGTCATATGCCACAAAGTTGAAATAGATTGCTATTTTATATGCCACAATTTAAGCGATGAAGTCAGCAGATTTGTAAGTTAAATACTTGTTTGCAACTGGTATCAGAGTATTGCGCAGTCGGTTACGTCCAACTGCTATGTACTCATTTATTTGCACACCCTTGCAGAAGTTATTATTCCTTGTCACGAATTCGTCGATTTCATAAAATAGAAATATAAACAAATAGTTGTGGTTTTAAGGCAAACTTGTCAATTATAAACAACAGACAGTGACGTTTTTGATAATTATACTCGGCTAAATGTGAGTCAATATTATTATAACATTAACAAGTGTCTGCAAGGGTATTTAATCTTCGACAGCCCGAAGCTCATTTTGATTTCTTTTTATGTGTATGGCAACTAATTAATATTGCTTTAATTATTATTATTATTATTGAGCTGTTAGTTATAATTCCGAGGAGAGCGCGGTTCCCTTTTGAGGGGCGCCCTGAACTTTGTTAGCATATTGCTTATCTTAAATATCAACTGTATCTTTGCCTGCAACTGTATCTGTATCTTTAAACTGTAACTGTAACTTTATCTGTATCTGTATCTGTGTGTATCTGTGTAACTGTAACTGTAACTGCACATTACGGGCATTATTATCATCTGTTCTGAGAGGTCTTCCGTGTTTCCGAATAAGGCACACTCTCAAATATATGTATGTATATATATATATATATATATATATATATCAAATCCAAAAAAATATATGTATATTAATACCGACTAATTTATGGGGCTGTAAATATTTCTGCAATTTACTCTTCGACACAACTTGCGACACACACACACACACACACACCACACTACAACACACCAACACACACCCACCCACTCAAATGTGTGTATCCTAATCCGATAGCACATGTCCGAATAGTAAATTGAGAACATATTTCAGCATTTTCCTTAGTTATGGCGCCGGGCTGGGCGGAATGCGTGGCGCAACGAATTCACGCCGGAATTGAAACTCATCACCGCTCTCTGTGCTGGAGGATGAGCTGCTGTCACTCGAGTCATGCGCCGCCGTCACCAAAGGCAGCTGTTGAGGATGCTGCTGTTGCTGTTGCTGCTGTTGGAACTGGCGCCAATTCATCTCGTGCTGCTGTACCGTGGACACACGTATCTTCTCCGGCCAGTGGAACTCTGTGGGTCGCTGAGGTTTCACCGTTATCAACTGCGACTGTCGCTGCTGTTTCATTTCATCCGGTGAGCTGCCCACAAAGTTCGTAGACGTCGGACTCTTGCCCGTGAGCCGACTTATGTCAAACTCATGCAACGTGGCGCCGCTCATCGGACGCGCCACTGGAGCAGCAGCAACGGAGGCAGCCGTCCGATATGTGGCCACTGCCGAGGAGGCCGCCGAGGAGGACCCAGATCCGGAGCTGAGCTTCTGCGATTGCGTCGGTGCCAGCAACAGGGCATGCTGTGCCAATTGGGCCGTCGTATAGTTGTTGCCCGGACCACGTCCGCCAAAGTCGTAAATACGCTCGTCGTAGTGAAACTGCTCGTAGCCAGCACTGGCTCCAGTCCGATGGAAGCTGCGCCTATTGCCTCCACCCATATTGTAGTGCGGTGCCGATTTGATGCTCGAGTTGGAGCCGTACAGTTGACGCGGCGATATGATCGCCTCGCGCTCATAATGGCAGGCGGACTGCACCTGCCGGCTGAAGCCGGCACGACGCCGACGGCATAAGGAGCTGCTGGAACTGGCGACGACACGAGCGCGTATATCGCACTCGGAACGCGCCAGGCTAGGCTTGCTGGGCTTGCCGTCCTCACCCCCACTAGAGGAGCTGCTCGAGTCGAGCGTCATGGGATTGTAGCTGAGACGGCGCAACGTGCGCGCTCTTATAGAACGCGGCTTGTATGAGGCAGTGCGTCTGGGTAGCGGCTGCTGCTGATGCTGTTGCAGCTGTTGCTGTAGCTGCTTCTGTGATTGCTGCTGCTGCTGCTGCTGCAGTTGGTGCTGTTGCTGCTGGTGGAGTGGCTCCTGCCTGAACTGGCGCTGCTTGGCATCCGACAGCACCGGCGAAATCGGCTGGAAGCTCTCATTGAAGGATGTGGAACGCTGGCGATAGCTCTTGGCGACTGCCGCATAAACGGAACTGCTGCTCGTATTCAAGCACGATTTGACTGGCGAGGCGCTGGCCAGCAGCTGCTTGGTATGACCATTGCCGAAGCGTTCGTAGCCGCTGCTCATCACCACGGGCGGTGCACTGAAGAGCGCCTCGCTCTTCAACGGAAAATAGCTCTCCTGGGGACTATAGCTGCTCTTCTGGCTGCTGCGACGCGACAGCGAGATGTTTGTGTCTCGGGAAGCGAAGCCAGTGTCCGGGGTGCTGCTGCGCTTATCGTCGACCAGTTTCTGTTCGGGCTGCTGGCTGTGGCTGTGCAGCTGCGCCTGTGCCTGGTTGTGCATGTACTGCAGATGCTTATCTAGGTGACTGGTTGCCGCATTGAAATCAAACATCGTCTGCACCCCGTTGCTGTAGCTGTACACAGCGGACTTGAGACTGCCAGTGGCACTGCTGATGCCATCGTCCAACGAGCCCACCAACTGATGCGGCAGCTGATCATTTAGAATGGTGTCGTTCGAGTCGCTCTTGTCCAGCTCCGTGTATGTGTGCATAAAGTCCAAGTTCAAGGCCTTCAGCGTATTCTCAATATCCATAATATTATCGTTGATGCTCTTTGGCTCGCGCGACTCCTCGTTGCTCAGCTCGCGGTTCAGGGGACGGCTAAGCAACTCGCGCGACTTCTCGAACAGAAAGTCGGAGCTCTCCTTGTCGAAGATGGGAATGCGCAGATCGGAGCTGTTCTTGATCTCGCTCAGCGAGCGAAAGCGCTGCTTGATGTGTTTGTTTGTGTGTGGGAGGTGTGTTGTGTATGTTTAAAAACGGAAACAAAACGAAAGCCAAGACGAACAGAAAACAACAAACGAATGGGCGGGGGGCAACCAAAAGAACAAAGCAACGGGGAATGAATGGAGCGCACCGATGATGAAGAAAGAGAGAGCAAAGTGTAGACAAGAAAAGACGTCCGGATTAGCAACAGACAAAAATGGCCAAAATAAAATAAATACACTAGCAATAGCTCTGGCTCTAAATGTAACACTTAAGTATATATTATATATAATCTCGGCTCACCTGTATATCGGGTATGCTCTGCAGTTCCTCCGTAAAGTTCTTCTTCGTGGAGAAGGGCGAGCCAGTGCCGTGAGTGGGCGTATGCGCAGAGCTGCCAGCAGCGCCTCCCAAGCCACTGTTCGACTTGTCGCCGCCGCTGCTCAGATGCGGAAAACGGAAGCTGAACTTGCGCTTGGGACTGTGCGTCGCCGGCGGATGATCCGAGACCAAATTAATCATCGATCTGCAGGGGACAATTAGTGACTCAGATATATATATATACAATATAAATTATGCTGTTGCCTCACCTGGCGCTAATCTCATTGGCCATTTCGATGGCATGATTCAGTATTTTTTCATCCTTGACCGAAATGGCCTTCACTGTCCCCGTTGCCGCCTTCTTCTTGGACATCAGTCCATGGCCGTGCTGCTTGTTGCCATTGCTGTCGCCGGCCGTTTTGTGTGCGAACTTGGCTGACATCTCGGCAAATTCGTTTTTCGTGTTCACATGATCAAAATCGGGCGACTTTGGCTGGCTGCCAGAGGCGCCACTAATTGAGCCGAACATCGAGTTAATCTCATCGAGCAGTGACGGACCAAAGTCCAACTTGTCGCCAGTGATCTCATCATCGGATATCTCGTGATATTCGTGCGGATCGTCGGTCGTATTGCGCGAACTGGCACGCCAATTGGGCTCGGAATGGATGCTCTTACCATCGGCGCCGTAGTTGTTGTTCTGCAGCGCATAGGCCAGCTGCTCCTCGTCCAATTTGTGCGTGGCAAAGGGATTTGTGGAGCCGGCAAAATCAAAAGAGCTGTGCCCATTGCTCGGTATCAGTTTGGGCGTGTGCTCCGTGGAGGGAATAAACGTGGGATTCATCGAGGTGCCAGCACCCTCCGGAAAGTAGCCGCTCGCCGTTTGCAGCGAATCGGGACTGGTCGGTGTCGGTGGCAGCAGCAGCGGCGTCTGCTCAATGTCCTCCGACGGCTTGTAGGGCGTCACAATCTGCTTGGGTACATGATTATACTGTAGAAAAGGAAAACAATTAATAGACAAGTTCATTGAGACTGCGACTCGCTTACATTCTGGGAACTTCCGAGGAAGGCAATGTCGCCAAAGGTGGCGCCATCGATGCCGACATGTCCGGTGTGCTTAAAATCATTTTGTGGCTTTGAAATCATTTCGGTGCGCAGTTTACGCTTGCTAATGCGATGATCCCCAACTCGACTGAAGGAATCACGATTGGAGGCACAGGGTAAACCCTCGAGAAATGCTACAGTATTCGAGGGATTGAAGTAGCCCGTCTTGCCGGTGCTGAGGACACCCTTCCAGAAGGGCGTGCCCGTATTGCGATCGAGCACGCTGATAATGTCGCCCTGGCGATATAACAGATGATCCTTCTTCGGCTCGACACAGTTAACAACGGCCTTGAGCTGCTCGGGCTTCATGTCGGGCAGCTGTTCGTAGATTTCGCTAAACTTGGGTCGCTTAGCCGCATCATCCTGCCAGCACTTCATCATCAGCGTGTAATACTCACGCGGACAGCAGTCCGGCTGCTCGAGGCGCTGATAATTGGGCGCATCGATGGCCTCTAGTATCTGGAGGCCGGTCAGTGCAGCCCATGGCTGAAATCCATACGAGAACATCTCCCAGAGGCAGACACCAAAGGCCCACACATCGGAGGCGTTCGTGAAGCGCAAATAGTTGATGCATTCCGGTGCACACCAAGCGATCGGTAGCTTTAGATTCACATTGAAATTCGTCTTGTAGTAGTCCTTGCCCACGCCGAGTGCACGCGATAGCCCAAAGTCCGAGATTTTCACCTTGTCCTTGCTGAACACGAGTATGTTGCGTGCAGCCAAATCTCTGTGGATGAGTCGCTTCTGTTCCAGATAGCGCATGCCATTGCAGATCTGCAGCGCAAACTCGCAGAGGGTGGGTATCGTTAGGAAGCTGACACGCAAACCGGAATCCTTAAGGCACTCGAGTAAGGAACGTAGATGCGCCAGCTCCGTGACGAGCATCAGCGAATCGGTAGCAAGCACAACGCCATACAGTCGCACAATGTTCTCGTGCTCAATTGAATGCATTATGGCTGCCTCCTTGAGAAATTCCATGGGATTCGATTGCATGCGCTCGCGGCACAAGCACTTGATGGCCACTTGAATCTGTGCAACGGCAGCAGCGAAAAATTAATTACTCACTTCAAGCGGAAGCCCTTGAGGAAGGGGGTGGGGGAAGCGACTTAACTCACCCGTTCGCTGCCATTCGTCCAGACGCCCTGCTGCACAATGCCGAACTCCCCGATGCCCAGCTGCTTGTTAACGCTAATCGAATCAGCTGGTATGATGTGCTTGTTGTTGGGCACCTTGCTGCCCGGTGAACTAGCCCCGTTCCGCGTCGCTGTTGCGGTTGCAGCTGCGGCGCCGCTCTCATTTGTTGCCTGTCCACTGGCAGCGCCATCCTCGCGCTTCACAATTGTCGCCGGCGTTTGGAGCAGACGCTTAATTTTGCTGAGGTAACTGTGGGGGAAATGCTTTTCATAGAATTTACGCAGTCTTCGGATTTCCGGCCGCGACAGGCCAATGAAACGTAAATCCTCATCCGCTGCATATTTGAATTGTGCTGCATTTGTTATTTTTAATTCGTTTCTGTGTGAAAGGGGGAAATTAATTGAGTTGCGTCGTCAACTAAGCCCGGTATGCAGATCACAATTAATGACGTAGCAACAAAAACCACTGATGAAGAACCTCTCCTTGCGTATTTCGCTTATTTTAAATTGTTAAATATATACACACTTTCTGCAAATTGGTATTAAATTATAGCAACAATAAAAAAATACCAGCTGTTTGTTTACAATTGCCCTCTTTCTCTCTCTCTCTCTCTCTCTATCTTTGTCAATCAGTGTTGACATATGGAACAATTTTTGTTTTACTCGCATTAGTCGTGATCAGCATACCAGACTTGCCATATGCCATGGTCAATTTGGGTCACAGAACTCACTTGATGGCATTGTAATATTGCTGCAGTTCGGACTCGGTGAGGAATTCATATAAATCAATTTGTGGGCACTCTGCAAGATACACATAAATAAATATAAAAATAAATACGACTATATAAATGCATATTTAACTTAAGTATGCATGTGGTGTATCAACACCAAACAACAACAGCTGCACTCCATAAAATAATACCATAGGGAATATATGTTTGTGTGTGTGTGGGTGGCATGGATTTCAACACCCACCACCGCCATCACCATCACCACCGCCACTACCATCACCATCAGCAGCAGCAGCATTGACGCCAACACACATTTGCTCGACTTTGATTCCCATTCATTGGCAGAGCGGCGCCCTCATGTGGCACACAGGCCTTAAAATATTTTCATTATTTCATTTCAATATTTTTATCTTCCACAGCACACACACACACACAGAGAAATCTGCCGCTTAACCCGCAGCATTTGTCATTCGGTCGTGTTTTTGTTTGCCTTTGTAAAGGAAACAGCGCAACACATGTATATATATATACATAAATATACACTCACACACACACCCATCCATACATATATTTGTGTGTGTACACAGATTGCCTGATAATGTCGGTTGAACCTCTGGATTTGCAATTTGAGTCATAAACGCGGCATTCGACATTCATTGAGATAATAAATTCCATGGAAACCGTTCACATCCGCTTGACGGCTTGTTGTTGTTGTTGTTGTTGCACCCACTGTGCAACTGCATATGTATGTGTGTGTAGATTTTAGGGTTAGTCAACTGATTCATCGAGCTATAATTTAATCGGCATAGCTATCCCACAGGATTTGCAGTTGTCCTTGAATTTGCAAAATAAAATCGATCGGCCAATACACACACACACACACACATGCATGCATACACACGCACTCACTCACACACACAGCGCACAGAAGCTACACATACTACGTAGCAGAGACAGTTTTTCCATCAGGGGAAACACTTGCATTTTCTTTTCTTGCAACCATTTTTCACTATTTAGTGCTTTACTCGGCATTCGTATAGAATATGCACAAATTTTTGAGCAAACTTTTGCACTTTTTAACTCAATCTTACCCATTTTATTTTCGCGTGTGCATTGTTTGGGAGTACTGCATCTTAACCAGTGTGAGCTAAAACTACTAACACCAAAAACACCACTTTGCTTTTATAAAAATACCAACGTGATAAATGCACTCTTGATATGGTCACTCTAAGCTGCTAACCATTACAGCGCCATTTTGAGTTTAACATGTAAACAATAACTATGTATCTAGATTGTGCAGCTGTTAAACAAAAAACAGCTGCCACCGAAAATAAACAACTTTTGCAACTAATTCAGATAAAAAAACACATGTCGCATACTGAATTCATGTACATATTATATAATTGATTACTTCACGGCTTGCAATACAAATAAAACAGTGATAAGATTAAAATGTGCTGTTTGAAAGGTTCACCAGCTTAATACACAAGAAGTGGCAAAAAAATGAACACACTTAGAACAATCGGAAGCTATTTGGGAAAAAAGAAATGGCCATGCGATCGATGACGGCTCTGGTATGCTCGTAGCCCAGGGCACTATTGATGGCCGCCATCTCCTCGAACAGTTCCCGTGTGCGCTTTTCCTCAATCATTTTCGTCATATACTTGTACATGCGTCCATAATGATTGTGTGCATAGGCGTGCCAAATGGAGAACTGAATGGCCTTCGAATCGTTCGCATCCGCGAACTTAATAATATCTGTATACACCTCATTCAGTTCGGCCAAATGATCCTTGATATTGTCATTCAGCACACATAGCTTTGCCAGTGCAATGCCCTTCTTGGTCAACGCCTCAACGAGATTATTCTTCTGTTTGTCCATGGAGCTGCAATCTCAGAGATTATTAATATGCAGCTGGAACTAGAATTATCGTTGCTCAACTTACGTCTTGATCTTGGTCGCATCGGGACGAGTATCATTCTTAATGCCATAAAAGGAGAGCAGGGCATCGGCATCCGTTTCTCCAATTACAATATCCGCCAGTTTGACAATGCGCTCCAAAGCGCAACGCTGCTTCTGAGGATCATCTGTCTTATCCACATTTTGGTTGTCGCCCTCTTTCTGTCTATTCTGGGCAGCGACAAAAGTCAACGGCAATTGAGACTTCAGTTCGCTCGACTCAATGTTCTGGATCAGCTGCAGATGGGCCAATAAATGTTTTGGATGTGCGGCCACAACATCATTGTATATTTTCTCCGCCTTCTCCAGTTCTAAATAGAAATCACAAATTGGTAAAGGAGAACAACAGCAATTAGCTTGGATTGGTGGACTTACCACACCTGGCAATGTGCATGCATTGGAAATCTCGCAGGCTCTCTGCGTAGTCATCTGCGCTGGTCTTTCCCTTTTGTGGCGAACTGGGCGAACCATTGCCGCCATTGGCTGGGATCTCATTCTGCAGCGTGACGCCATCGCCGCTGGTTGAACTGGCAGCGCTTGTGGCTCCCTGAGGCGTGGTTGTCGAATTCGGCTTCACCGAATTGGCGGTGGCAGCAGCTGCTGCTGCGGGACTGGCATTGGTGGCGGCTGTTCCATTGGAGGCCCCATTTGAGAACGACTTCTTCTCGGCCGGATTCAGTATGTAGGTGAACGGATGCAATGCGATGCGACGGCCGCCTTCGTCTTTGGGGAATACCAGATTGCCGCTCAGCCAGGCGATTGTGCCGGCAGATTCGCCTTTGTCAGCTTCTCCTGAGCAATGGGCGCAAGGTAGAGCATCTTTGTAATCTCACGCACCTTGTAGGTGGTGACTTTGCGGCCACCCACAATGCACTGATTATAGCTGTCGTAGAAGTCCATCGACAGCATATTGGGCAGCTTATATGCCGCAATCAGCGTGGCCTCCGAGATCTTTTCGAGTAGGTCGCGTTTTTCGTGCCGCACCTGCAAACGCACCGTGTACTCGCCCTTCTCCAGCTTCGTGTAGAAGGATTGCGAGTGCGCGTCGCCGGTGGCCACCAGTGACTTGTTCACATCGAACAGCATCCACATCTGGGACTCGAACTCGGACTCGTATAGCAGCTCGTTGAATATCGGCGCATAGAGCGCCACCTCCGCCGCCTTGGCCACATTCAAATTGTAGACGAGCAAGTTCTGATAGATCTGCCTGCCCTCTGGCACAACGTCGCGTGTGCTACTCAGCGGCGAGATCTTTGCCTCGCTGGGCTTGAGCACGACGGCGGCGTTTTTAAGCTGCAGCAGCGGCTGAATCTCCTCCGACACCAACGCGTCAATCTCCAGTCTGTGTATGCCCCGACCGGCGTGCATGACGTCTAGAAAAACAAAGAGCATGAGATACAGTAGAAAATGAATTATTCTAATGCGGATTCATATTTACAAGCGCCGGGATTATAGGCAGCAACACCGTGAAACTCAAGACTATACTTCAAATGTGTCTGGCCATGATTGGACCAGTACTTGGCAAGGCATAACTCCAGTATCCTATTTGCCTGCAAAAGTATACAAAAGGCTCAGCTTAGCACAAAGTGGGTTTCCCACATTTGCAAAAAATGTACCTGAACACGGAAAGTGGTCGTTGCCTCAAATTCCGAGTTAACGCCAACTATTTTCATCGTTTCCACTTTGCGGCAAGACTGATGCGGAAGCAGTTGATTCGTGTGCAAAAAGAACTTGCCAATATCGTTGCCCCGATTCGAATCCGTATTCCGCATGCGCAGCACTACAATCGAAATGAATGAATAAATAATATGTAATTATTTCAATAGATTCGCATTCACGCACATGCCCAGGTGGCCTTGTCCGGCACCAGAATAAAGTCCCTTGTTATGGTGTTGGGCTGGAACTCAATGCTCCTGTCACCCTTAACAGAGGCAGGCTCATAAATGGGCGTATTCTGTCCATGGTCCAGCACATGCGGCTGCACCACTGTCACAGGTATCTCGAACAATGGACCCTTCGGCACACAATCTGTATCATAGGCGCGAATGCTGCAAATTAGAGTTGAATTAAAAGTAAGAGACTGAAGCTTGCTTGACTTGGATTAGCTGCTTACACGGCACTATGCACACCCGGCTGCAGGCTAGTCGGATCAACTCTGACCGCAATTGGGCGGCCGGCGTAGCTGAGGTCCAGAAATGCGCCGCACTGCACCCAAGGCTGCGACGGCACCAGATTAAGACGCACATTAAAATTGAACTTATCCTTTGGATCTATGGATATCAAATGTACAAAGAGTTAAATTACGCATATCAATGATGGATGCAATCACTTACCCACTTCCTTGTCATTGAATAGGACGGGATCAATGCTCACTTTGCATTCAATGAACTTGCGCTGCACGCCCTCCCTCAGATGAATGCCCTTCGCCTGTTGGGTGCCGACACGCACTGAGAAACTGAAAGAGAAGCAGAGATTTGTAATTTCAATTGAATATCGAAGCATACACACATTACTTCTACTTACCGCACCATGTTGTCCTTGGCCTGGCGGTGCTCCACCAAATGCTCGAATGCCTTCTCCACGTTGAGCAGGCCGTGTCCTTGGGCATAGGGATCCACATAGCCTAGTTTGGTGGCCGTAACGCTAATGGCGCGCTTAATACTATATGGCGAATAAGCGATGTTCTGCTGTTTCAGGCCAGAGATGAGCAGAGCCACTGCACCGGCCACATGTGGTGCCGACATGCTGGTGCCATTCATCAGCTGCGTTTTACTCATCATGAACTGCGGCACGGAGGTAATGGCGCCACCGGGGGCACACACCGTCACGCCCTGTCCGCCATCGAGGCAGGGATCGCGCGATGTCCATGTGTACACATTGCCCGGCAGTTTCTCACGCATTGCATATTCTGCCTCCATCATCTGCGGCGACACGTAGGCGCCCACGCCAATCAAACTGTCTTGGCTGATGTCCGGCGGAGTGCCCACAGTGCTGAGCGCCGGTCCATGATTACCCGCCGAGACAATCCACACGACGCCATACTTATTGACCACCTCGTTCATCAAATCACCAACGCGTCTGCAAAGGCAAAGAGTGGAACATTTCTCAGAATAATATAAACGACACCTAGTCAAATATGTTTATCGAGTAGAAAATGAGACAAATTCCTCACCCGGAATTGGAAAAGTTCGAGTGCTCGCCGTAGCTCATGTTGATCACATCAATGCGGCGACCCTCGCGGCACAGCTCCATAACTTTCAAGATGCCGCGCACCATCGCTGTGCCCGTCTCCATGGAGCCCAAGCGGCCGTCACCAATGGTGAGCGAAACGATCTTTGCATTTGGTGCCACGCCATCAAAATCCCTGGACTTGTGATTGCCACTGGCAATCGAAGCAACGTGCGTGCCGTGCGGGGCTAAAGAGGAATGGAAAAATAAATATGACAGGTACAGGTGAAGCAGCAGAAGAGGGAACCACTACTTACAGCACATGCCCACCAATTCCAGCACGTTGCCATCGTCTTGAACGTTAACGGAAATCGACAAGAAGTCGTCTACATTTTTCGTCTCGTGCGTCTTGCTATATTCGCCGATGTGCAGCGCCTTCTCCAGATCTCCCTGCTCCGTGTTATCGATAATGGCCAACCAGCCATTGTCGGTTGGGAAGAGCACACAGTCAAAAGTGGTCTTCACATCATTGTATACCTTCTCATATGTATTCAGCATTTCCAATTCAAAGTCCAGATTCGCCTTGATAATCTTTTTGTCCCATGGCAGCTTTTGGCCATCACCTAGAAGAAACCATCAAATCTTTAAGCTGAAACAGTTGTTGGAACACATCAGATGACTGCTTACCCGGATTCTGAGATTCAAACTCAACGATCTTGCGACTGGCATTTGCCGTGGCGATCTTGTGCGGCTTGTCCCAATTCTTCAGTTTAGCCTGGGCGACAATGTTGTCGCGCACCTTTGCCGGTACCAAATCGTTGAAGCTCTTTAAGCCCACGCGCACCGCGCGATCCTTGTCTGTGTTGAGTGCCAACAGTTCGGCGCTGAGCTGCAGCGTTCGTCCAGACAGACCCTTGAAGGTGCCCTTCTCGCTGGGGGTCACCTTCTTGGTCATGTCCACGTCGCCGCAGCCCGAGCAATCGAAGCGCTCAATAACTTTGACAGTTTTGCCATCACACAGTGTCTGAAATTAAATATGAAAAATACATATTTAAATAGATAAATAATTATATATTTTGTATGTATAAATACTAACCGCAAGTCCAGTGGCGCGTGGATCTACGCCAGAATCAAAGATGGCAATGGTCACATCGCGACCATCGTAGTCCGGATACTTTTGCAGGAAGTTCAGCACCCCCGTCTCTACCTTCGGCACCTGAGTGATGACGAATGATACGAATTTTGTCACTTGACAATTGCATAGAGAACATAAAATATATGATTTATGCATACCAATGCACCCGTGGGAAACGATGACTCGACAATGCCGCTGAGATCAGTAGCCATATTTTCCACAAATTTATTGGCGCTGTTCTTTTCGTTATCTATTAGCTTCAATTCCGTATATTCTTGAGTTTCGTCTGTGCGCAGTCCTAGAATTATGCGCTGATGCTCGTTTGCTTTGTAAGTGGATTGCTGCCTGCTGCGTTCTGCGTTCTTTGATACACCTTTAATAGAATGATTTGCGGTAATTCGACTTCTCCTTTGCATACGTATGTATATTTATGAGCGCAGGCGTTGCCACACTTAAGCACTTCAGCTGCTCAAATTAAACAGTGTATCAGCGCAGGCCGGGATAAAATTCGATAAGTATCGAAATAAAATTGCTTTTTTTTGGTACGATTACAGAAGAATTTATACTGTGCGTCATATTCATACAAAAAAGTTTTGCATTTTCTGTTAAGATCTATCGATATATCGATAAGCACAACAGCTGTCAGTCGTTCCGTGGTTTGCCGTGTTTTTTTTGGTATAGGAAAATAACACAATAATTTGTGTGTGGCACAGTCAAAATGTGGTTCGAAATCTTACCAGCAGCTGCCATCATCACCGTGGCCATGTCCGTGCCCATATACGCCATGTACGGTCTGCAGAAACTGACGATTGGCAACGTAAGTGTCTGGTTCAGCAGGAAGAAATTCTTATATAATGCTGCCCGTTGATTGTGCATTAAACGTAATTTATGAAACATAATTTAAACGCGTCGAAAAGTCTACCGAAAACATGGAATTTGTATAAACACTGCTTCTACTAATATGCCTAATTTTGTGATGACTTCTTCCAGGCCTATCGCCGCAATATGGACGAACGATTCGATCGTGTGATGTATCAACGCGATTTCCGACTGACCAACAATCCGTACATAATGAATGTAAGTCGTCGATTTTGATACTATTAATTTTGCTTGCCAAGAGTCGTTTACAATTTTTTAACATCTCTAATTTTCTGATATTCCGTGATCCTTTCATGCGCTTGTAATATAAAAGACAACATTAATTTAATCCCTCACACATAGACAACAATCATTTATTTATTTTGAAAATACGAACAACATTCATTTAACCCTTGTGTTTCACGAATTTCCCAACTAACTTCATTAATACTTCATACTTGATTTGCTTAGCTTTGATTGTCAAAAATTGAGAAAACTTCTCATTCTCTTGCAGGGTCTCCATGCTATTCCAGATGAGTCCAAAAATTAAATGTTATGTAGTTGAAATTCTATTAAGCTTAAGTGCAAAAGTGAATAAATATACAGTACGAAATTGAAAATCGAAAATTTTAAAGGCTCATATTTCAGTTATTGTTAGAACTTGTAGAATTGTATTATTTAGCGATATTTAAGTGCATTCCTTTACAGGGTCTAGAAGAGATTGAAGATGAGGATGAAGATGTTGCGAATAAAAAGACGCAACAAACCAATAAGGACGAAAAAAAAGAGTAGATTAAAATGTAGTTGACTGTTTGATTACACTGATTTCCTCTGACTTAAGGTTACTTAATTGCGAACAACCGCACATTTATATATGTATGCATGTACATGTATGTGTTTGGAATAAACTCAACGCTTGCCGCGCAACAAACAACCCTGTTCTTGTGCTTGTGCACGGAAAAACCACCCCTATGGGGACGCTTCCCCCAATTGGGTTGTCAACTTTTGTGGTATTCTGAAAAAGGCGTCGACAGAGGCGAGTGCAGAGTACGGAGTACGGAGTGCAGAGTTTGATGCGCCCTACACTTTAATAAGAAAGTTCCGCTATTTAAAAAAAGAGTGTCGCAATATTTTCACAAAGATATGTTTTAAAATTGGTGAAAGGCTCCCAAAACACGACCGATTCCAACTTCGGCAAAGATAAGCAAACAAAACGCAAAAAGCGAAACGCACACAAAAGATACCTCCTCTATAACTATTTACATATAGAGACACAACACACACACACACAACCACACACACACACATACACGAAGAGGAGTCGCGAGTGGGGGGTGCAGCCATGGCTGGCGTGGCCGGGCTGGGGGTTGGCCGGGTTGGGTGCAGGGGTTGCCAAACTTTTGTATATGTGTTTGTTGCTGCCTTCGGCCTGTGCGTGTTATTATTTACATGCGAGGCGGATGGCAACTCACAGAATGCCATCGACATGGAGGAGCCGGCGCGACGCCACCATCAGCGGCACCACAGCGACCACGAGCGCGATCGGGAACGTGGTGAACGCGAGGAGAAGGGCTACTGTGCCCCATACAATGGCAAAGTGTGCAAACAGTTCATCACTGGCCCCGTGTGGTACAGCCTAGAGGATCCGACGGGTGGCTGGCGCAACGAGCAAATCACCACAGCGCTCTGGGATGAGCTGATAGTCGACTTGACCGGCCTTTGCCGTGAGGCAGCCGAGGTGGGTTAACATTTCTTCAACTACCAGAAATATGCAGTTTAATATCTCATCCTTTGCAGAAAATGCTGTGCGCCTATGCCTTTCCGCGCTGTCATGTGGAGAACGGACGGGCCATTAAGGCGCCACTCTGCCTCGAGGATTGCCAGGCGACCCATCTGCAGTTCTGCTACAATGACTGGGTGCTGATTGAGGAGAAGCGGGAGCGCAACATGTTCCTCAAGAGTCGCGCTCACTTCAGGCTACCCAATTGCACGGCGCTGCCGCATTACGATGCTAGCATGCGGCGTTCCAGCTGCTCCTACATAGGACTAACCGAGATTAAGGAGTCGGAGGTCAGCTGTGAGTATAAGCCGCTCGTTGGCATGGGCTGGTTTTTGATCATGGCTTATTATAGATGACTGTCGCAATGGCAACGGCCGCTACTATATGGGTACGATGAATGTGAGCAAGTCGGGCATACCCTGCCAGAGGTGGGACACCCAACATCCGCACAAGCACATTCAGCCGCCGCTGGTTTTCGCCCAGCTGACCGAGGGCGAGAACTACTGCCGCAATGCAGGTGGTGAGGAACCGCAGCCCTGGTGCTACACTCTGGACGAATCTGTGCGCTGGCAGCACTGCGACATTCCCATTTGCCGTAAGTTTAGTTTCCACTACAGTTTCCCGCAGCAGAGATTAATTGTATATTTTACCTTGCAGCTGACTATGTGGATCCTAGTGCCAAGGATCTGAATACGCCCATTAAGATGGAGGAGTTTTTCACACCATCCATGATATTTCTGCTGGCGGGCATTGGCTTCATTGGCATTGTGGCTCTGCATCTGATCATACTACTCGCCTACAAGCTGTCCAAACACAAGGATTACACGCAACCATCGCAGGCAGCGCACGGCGAATGCGGTGCCTCCGTGCGAGGGGATTGCAATTTGTCTGCCAGTCGCGAGACGCTCGGCTCAAACGCTTTTGCCGCCACGAACGCCACGAAGTGCGGCACCATAAGGAGCACCGCAACCATTCACAGCAACTGCATCATGCTGACCACCACTGCAGCGGTGCAGGAGCCCAAGACGAAATTGAATGCACGCCTCGAGAAGCTAGAGTATCCGCGTGGAGAGATTGTCTACGTACGCTCGCTGGGCCAGGGCGCCTTCGGGCGCGTCTTTCAGGCCAAGGCGCCTGGCCTAGTGTCGGGCAATGAGGAGCTGCTGGTGGCCGTCAAGATGCTGAAGGACGATGCCAGTGATCAGATGCAAACAGACTTTGAGCGTGAGGCCTGCCTCCTGGCTGAATTTGATCATCCCAACATTGTAAAGCTGCTCGGCGTCTGCGCTTTGGGTCGACCCATGTGTCTGCTCTTTGAGTACATGTCGCCGGGGGATCTCAGTGAATTCTTGAGGGCCTGCTCGCCATATGCGACTCACCAGGCGCAGCCGCGCAATCGACAGCAGCTGGAGGAGCTGCAGCTGCTCCACATGGCCGCTGATGTTTCCGCCGGCATGCTGTTCCTGGCCGAGCGCAAGTTTGTGCATCGCGATTTGGCCACGCGCAACTGCCTCATCAACGAGCAGATGCAGGTGAAGATCGCGGACTTTGGTCTATCGCACAAGATCTATCTGCAGGATTATTACAAGGGGGATGAGAACGATGTCATACCCATACGCTGGATGCCCATCGAAAGCATTCTCTACAACAAGTTCTCACTGGAGTCGGACGTGTGGGCCTTTGGTATCTGCCTGTGGGAGATCTTCTCCTTTGCCCTGCAGCCCTACTACGGCCTCACGCACGAGGAGGTCATCAAGTACATAAGGGAGGGCAACGTACTCGGCTGTCCGGACAATACGCCGCTGTCCGTCTACGCCCTGATGCGCCGCTGCTGGAACCGCAAGCCCAGCGAGCGACCAGGCTTCGCGGAGATCAATCATTGCATTCAGCACAGCATCGCCGAGTGCGAGTGCAAGGCGATGCTCTAGAATCCACATTCTAGACTCCAGTCAACCACAGCTAACCGAAATTATTCCGTCATATTTCAGCCATTTGAAATGGATCCGTTTCCGTATCCGAAATCTGAATGCTCTCCAGTTGTCTTCCGGAGCAGACGCACTAAGCATACACATAATCAAAGTACGGAGCGTACCATGAACTAACTATCAACTGAATTACCAAAACAAAAAACAAAAACAAAAAAATGCATGAAAATGTCCAAAGTCTATCAATTCTTGGAGTCATTTAAATCTTCATTATTTTATAATAATTTTAATTAATTCAGAGGCAATTATTTCGCTGCACTTTTATAACTTGTGTTTCGATTTGGTCTATATAATATTTCTTTTGTTAGTTATTTCATGGAACCTCAGATGGTTAAACTCCATAGTTGAACTCGTATTCGTACTCGTACACATATACACAAGTATTATGATTAATATAATATATTATTATGATGTTCTTTGATATTATAATACGACGATTATCATTATGATATTCTTTCCACAACGAATGCATTTAGTCAGCCATTTTATTGGTACTCGTACTCATATCTAGTTCGTAGACAATATAAGTTTAATTATTTATAAATATATATATACATATATCTATATATATATATATATATATATATATGTAATATTAATATTTTTGCATGTATGTATGCCCAGTGGATTGAATTCCAATCGGATTTTACTAGATTTAAGCTTAAGAGCACCTTGCCAACGGTGCGCCATACTCGGGATATTTTATCACATTGGAACACTTTTGAAAACGAATCACAAAACACCGAAGACCATCAAAACAATAAGGAATATAAAATATGAAATATTTAGAGAACTGTCTACAGCCTCAATTTCTTAGGACATTTACATAATAATCTTGTAACTAATATGTTGATGTAATTTGTACAATATACCTTTCATAATCAAAATTCAAAATGACCTTCATTTCAACTTATCAGCAATAGTATTCATAATAGTAGTCATAGTCGTAGGAATATGGGCGACGACAAGGATACGAAACAGGCACGGGCACTGGCAAGACTCCGAGGCCTATACCACCACCGTAGTAATGAGGTCTGTACCCTCCATAGCCTCCATAGCCGCCGTGGGGACGTCCATAGCCACCTGGGCGTCCTCCACCCCAACCGCCTGGGCGTCCTCCACCCCAACCGCCTGGGCGTCCGCCACCAAAGCCACCACGTCCACGTCCACCGCCAAAGCCACCGCGTCCACCACCACCACGTCCGCCACCACCGTGTCCTCCACCACCGTGTCCTCCACCACCATGCCCTCCTCCGCCACGCGCCAACGAAATGTGCAAGCAATCGAGGAGCAAGGCGAATAAGAAAATTATCCAAAGTTTCGACATTTTTAGAAAACAGTTCTATCGTGTTCTGTTTCTTATTGCGACTAAAACAATTTCATTTGATTTCTGGATTGGCAAGTTCTAAGTATATATACCAAATTAATTAGAGTATTCATTATAATTGGTGTAAGGTCAACTCTTCGTGCTGGAAATCCCCCACATCGCGCTCAAATATCAATTTTCGCATACATATATATATATTTGTTGTTTGGCAATACAAAACAGAGCTTAACTTGGCGATATCACAGCAGCCTAAAGCCTAAAGCCTAGGATCTAGACAATACATTGAATATGATACTTAAACAGTAAGTTATATCTAAACAGATGTGTATATCGGTGTGGATTCAGTGCATTTTGGGACAGTTGGAATTCTTGCTGAGCACAAGTCTTTCGGGGTCGAGAGAGAGTCGCTTGAGCACATCGTAGATCTTCTCTCGAATCTCAACTACAAAGTCTGTCTCGCGTCCGAGCACCCAGATCTGATCGGCATAGCCTAGGGAGCCAATGCTGCCACAGGACCACAATATGGCAAAGTTTTCGTAGTCCGTGTAGAGCACCTGGTATTTACCAGAACCGGGCAACAGGCGGGCAATCACCTCCGGAAAGCGAGTGTTGAACTAAAGGAATTGATATGATTGAATTGACAATGTTGTTGAATAATTGATTGACATACCTTAAAGTCCATAATAGAGGATCTGCTGTTCTCTGGCGTGGCATAGCCCAGATTTACATTGGGATTGCCAGTGCTATAATTATTAATATATATGCAGATAATTCGAATAAGGTTCGCTTATATCAATTTAAGTCCACCACTTACATGCGATTGACGGTTTTTATGGCCACCTCCAGCTTAAAGTTGTTGAACTTGGACAGATCCGCTTTGTTGTAGGGCTCAAACTCGAAAGTGGTGCAGCCCGATGCAATTTCGGGCAAATAGAATGAACGCTCCACCTCGAACCAGTGGCCGAGCACCTAGAAATGTTTATATGCCATCGTTGCATTAGAAACAATATTAATAAGATCGCCCTGCCTGCGTTTCACTTTGTGGCGATGAGTAAGCAATTAACTGGGTTACTATTATACAAAAAAGAGATTAAAAAAAAACAACTGCCTCCACTCCCAGCGTAAAACATAAACACTTCAAGCATTTTTATTTATTTTGTTGTTATTTTGGTAAACTGGTTTTTAGTGCTGGCAGAGTCCAAGCAGTGCCCAGTAGCAGAAGCCACGGATAGCTATGGGCTGTGATAAAACCCTCACTTTATACAATTTTATTCTTGGGGTCGGGGTCTTTGCCCCCGCCCAAGCGAACGATGTCAAAGTGCTCTTTAACGCTTACGCTTATCAACTCAATTGTGCTCGACGATTTATCAAATTGCTTGCAGCTCAAAGTCCAAACAACGATGCTGCATCCCCAACGCGTAACTGCTCAAGAGGGAACGGCATACGTGACACGAGAAACGCATATCTAACACGATATCGTTATATAGTTCCATTTTGTTTCTTTGTAAAGTCATTTTGTCAAAATAAAGGCAGACAATTATTCAAGAGAAACAATTATTTAAGTCAATTATAAGCCCATAAACCAAATTGATTTGTAGTGCACTTTAGAGACAAAATTCTAGATAATTTTCAAAGGTTCTATATTTCGTGTCCCTTTCTCAAATAGAATTTCAATTTGATTTCATTCTTAGTGCCATCTCTAGCAGCTGTGCTCGGTTTGCAGCTCTCACTCGGCTATTATGTTATATGTTTGATATGGTAATTTGGTTTCATTTGCGTTTTGAGCAAATGGAACTGTAAGTGATTTCAAGGCGGTCAACTGAATATAAATGGGCTTATGTGTAAGTTCCCCAACCCCCAACGCACATGATTAATGTAATTGTGCTGCTAAATTGATTAAGGCAATTTTCTAGTTTGTCCAACTTAAAAACAAGAAAACGCACAGCGACAACACGAAAAAAGAGCTTTGGTCTCATTGTTGTTGTCCTTGGCGTGCCAAAGACGTTAGCTGCTTGGTTGGACATGGTCAATAGTCAATAGTGATAGTTGTAGTTGTAGTCTTCTTAAATATGATAAAGAAGTGGATTGTTTGCCATTGGCGACTGCACGACCATCATAACGATTGAAGATATACAAATATGTGCTTGTAAGGTTTATTAAGTTGTTTTATCTCCTTTGCTGTAAACTGGTTTGCACTTTTACATGGTTGCACACACCTCAAATTGGTTCAAGTTCAACTTTATGCACAATCTATAAAACTAAAATAAAAATACCATTGCCTTTGACGCCTCGTACTAATTAATGGAAAATTTCACAGGTGCTCTTTGTTTTGCTGTTATTCAACTTATAGTGCGAAAATTATATATAAATGTGTATTTACATATATTGGGAACTTACGCGACTCATATTAAACTTTGGCATCGACGGATACTTCGGGCAACGTCCAAATCCATAGGCTTGGGTCTGCTCAACAAATGTCAGTAGTAATACAGACGACACTAGCAAAACTCGCAAAATTGCACAACATTTTTGCTTGCTCATTTTGGTAAATCCGAAAACACAAAATATTGCTTATTGGGTTAAAGATTGGCACAGTTTTTATATGTGTTTGTTTGCAATTATTATGCGTCGATTTGTTCTGCGTAGAATGTTTAATCGGAGGCAATGAATTCACTTTGTTATGCACGGTGCAACTTCCGTTTATGATGTCAGTTGGTCAATGAACGGAGCCGTTGGATTTCCATTTCCTCAAAGCGATGCGAGTATTATTATTTGTTTTTCTTATTTGTTTGGTTTGTTACTTGTAATTGTTACTATCAGTGTTGTTGTTGTTGTTTTTGTTGTTGTTACTCGGTGTACCTATTAATATTCCGCATAAGAAATGTGCGATAATCAAAACGTGCTGCTCCTCGAGTCTCACTGGGCTTGGATGAGTGGGTTGACTTAGTTGGCTTGGCGAGTGCAGCAAACAACAACACAAAGAGTGAAAATTAAGCGAAGCGGACACTTGTCGGTCTTCAAAATAAACAAAAAAAAATAAAAATAAATACAAATACAAATATTTTTAACTAGGTTGGCTCGTGCCCGACTAGGCGTTACGTAAAAGAAAATCCGAAAACCAGACCAGGCTAAAAAATGACAGGCGAGACAAGGCAAAGGCAAGGCGAGGTGAGACGAGGAGAAGTGAACCAGCTGCCGCATAGATCCCGCCTCCTGGAGTGTAGCCCGTTCCGAGTTCCAAGCATATGCGGAATGCAACGGCAACTGGTTACTAGTTAGTTGCACTTAGTGAATGGGTGAGCGCACTTTCAGTGTTTTAGTGTGCACCTCAAAGCTATTGCGCATTCATTCATCATAAACAAAAGTAAAAGGTCTAATAAAGGAAGTCTGTCTTTGTTTCTCTTGTTCGCGAATGTGTCATGAAGTTTTCAGTTTGGAGATGGCAATTATTTACGGCAAAACTTTGCCCCTGAGCCACGCCCCAAGCCGGATTCGGTGCAATGCGAGATATGCGAGACACTTGACAGTATCATTTATCGGGCGTCGGACAAATTTAATTGAAGTGGTGCAAGTTCAAGATAGCTGATAATTAGCCAAGCAAATGCATAGGAGAAAATGTAAAAATTTTCACATGCAAAATGAAGGAAGTCGACACATAGTTTATTTTATAACACACACATTTTGCAATAAATGACAAGTTATTAGCCATTTACCGCGTAGAAAAACAGGCAATGAAAATCAGCAGTTAGCCAACCAAGCAACAAATTTAAAATCCAAACAGCTGGGAAAAAAGTGTTAATTTTGCAGACAGACAAACAGCTGCAGAAGCAAACAAAAAAGGCAAAAGTGATTCGTTCAATTACAAATGCCTTTAATAATGGCCTTCCACTGTTCAGATGCAAATTGCAATTGCCAATTATACTATTTTTATTTTACTGCTTTGTCACTTTGAGTGCGCCTTGTTGTTTTATTGTTTTAATGTTGTCTCTTTGTTTACACGTTTGACTGCTGCACGTTCTTTGGCATTTGTTGTACGTTAAATCTCGGTCTAGAAAGTCTAATCTAAAACTGACGCCGCGACAACCTTCTCTTCTTTAACAACCACACCGGACGACCGTTGAAATTATACTGTCTGATGTTTATCGCATAGTTATTTGAATTGCAATCAGCGTGACCGTAGTAGAAGAATATTATTAAGTGTGCACACACTGGCAAAGTAATCGATAGCCTTATCGCTCTAATCAGCCGGCCTCCACAAATTTGCCGAATACCAAACAAATAGAAAACAATTTTTTTAAACGAATTATTTATTTGTTTATTTTATTAACTAATGGCGACTGCATAGTGTTAGCAACAAATATAAGCAATAAAGTTGGCGATGGCAGCCTGTGTGCTATGCTTCGACTGCTGCAAGACCGGCGAGTCGTACAAGATATTTTCCGAGGCCGGATTGCGGCTCAAAATTTGCAAAACAATAAACAAACATTTTTGGCTGGAGGTAAAAATGCGTTTTATGTATCTTTGTGCATTCGAATGATGTTGATCTCTTTCGCAGCTGAGCAACGCAGCGGGAGGCGAACGCGAGGAAATTTGCCACCAATGCTGGCAGGTCGTGAGCAACTTTAATAAATTATACGAGCGAGTTTACAACTTGCACCAGGAGCGCCTCTGTGATGTGAAGAACGTCACGATTGAATTCTGTGACGAGGCGGAGGCAGCGAATCCTCTAGCCCTTGGCGGTGAACTGGATGCACTCGCCGAGGATTTCTTTGCGTCCGGCGATGTCAAGGTGGAGGTGAACGAACTGGAGCCGCTGCCCAAGCTCGAAATGCTCGATGAGCCAGTGGTCGAGGAGCAGAGCAGGGCATCCAAACGTACCAGTGCCGAGCGTTCAGCTGCTAAGAGGCGCATCAAAAACGAACAGCTAACCATCTCCAGTGACTCGGATGGGGACATTCCCTTAGCTGAGTTCCTTGATCTTAAAACGACTGCAAAGCCAGGAGGAGTAGTAGCAGCAGCATCGCCGCTCATTGGACGACAGCTGCGAAGAAGCACTCGACGTGGTCGCCGAGAGAAAACCCCATCGGAATCGCCTTCAACCAGCTTGAAAAAGGAATCGGAATCTGATGATGCTGACCCTGATGGTGATGATAATAATGATAATGATCAGGATATGGACTTTGTGGCCGCAGAAGCAGTGCTAGGCACTGAGGACAGTGCCAGTTCCAGCGAGAGCAGCGACGGCGACTCTGGCGACAGTCTGCCTGATGTCGAGCCGGAGGAGCGCTACGCAGAGATACCCAAACGGGTTGTAGTCAAGCCCAAAAAGTATCGAAAGCGTCCCAAACCGCTGGTCGCGCCGGTGCGCATGAGTCGCGACGATCTCGCCAAACGACGGGCGCAACAAAAGAAATACGATGAAATTATATTTGAGTTTTTCAAGAAGCTGCCATGTCACGTATGCAATCTGTTGGTGCCCAATTTCGGAGACATGCGTCGTCATCTGCGCATGTCCCACAACATCGAAAGTGGCTTCATTGCCTGCTGTGGTCGCAAGTTTCACATACGCAGGGGTCTGGCCGAGCATGTGCTGGTGCACAATAACCCGGAGCACTTTATGTGCGCCCCGTGCGGTCGCGTCTTTCAGGACTCCAAGACGTTGGAGGCGCACGAGCAAACGCACACGAATCCCATGGCAGATGCGAAGGATAAACGCATTTACCCATGCGACAAGTGTCCGAAAACCTTCACCACAAAGGCCGCCGTCGAGTATCACATTATGTCCAAGCATGTGCCCAAGTCGGACTTCAAGTACACCTGCCCCGAGTGCAATAAGAAGTAAGCAAGAGTTTTCTCATTCCTCCTCACTGATCATAATTGTAATCTTTGCTTATGCTTAAAGGCTGCCCACAGAGCGAAAGCTGAAGGAGCATCGACGGTATATGCACGATCCGGAGACGGCAATCATTTGCGACAAGTGCGGCAAAACGTTGCGTACCCAGGCCAATCTTAAGAAACATCACGAACTGGAGCATTCCGATGAGCCACGCCCGAAGCCGGATCCCGTGCAGTGCGAGATATGCGGCACCTGGTTGCGCCATTTATCCGGCCTCAAGCAGCACATGAAAACGGTGCACGAACCACCGTGTGGCGAGCATCGCTGCCCCATCTGCGACAAGACATCAACTAACTCCCGAGCACTCAAGCGGCACATTTACCACAATCATCAGTGCGAGAGAAAGTTTCGCTGCACCATGTGCGAGAAGGCCTTCAAGAGGCCACAGGATTTGAGAGTAAGTTAAGTCTGATAGACCAAATGGAAGTAATAAGAAAATAATTGTACGCTTGCCAGGAGCACACATCGACACACACAGGCGAGGTGTTGTACACCTGTCCCAACTGTCCGCAGACGTTCTTCTCGAATGCCAACATGTACAAGCATCGCCAGAGATTGCATCGCGCCGAATGGGAAGCGGATCGCAAGAAACCACTGCCACCCAACATAATGCAGCAGGCGGCCATGAAGAAGCGACAGGGCAGCAAGGCTGCCGCACCAACGCTGTTCCCCCCATCCGCAGAGACGCCAACTGCACCAGCTGCCCAAAAGCCGGAATCGCAACAACAACCACAACAACAACTGCATTAGTATTTAATATTTATGACATAGTGATAAGTTAAAGGAAGGAACTCATAAATATACTCTAGGCATAAGGACACATCCATTAGATTAAAGAATACGATTACAATTACGACAACTAATGTTTAGATTTAATGCTCATCCTGTGGAATGCGGATTGTCTCACAGATGCCCTCTTCCCGGTGCACACTGGCCCAGTGCTGCGACAATTCCTGGCAGATGGCTCGTCGGAACACCATGCATGTGATGTGCGGCAACTTCTCGAAGCGAATGCGCAGCAGGCCCAGCTTGGCCAGGGCGAAGCGCCAGTTCTTCATGATGCTGGCATTTTTGCCCACATGCTGCGAATCGGGTGTGATGATGACTAGGATTCCCTCGGGTCGCAACAACTCATAGGCCTTCTGGCAGCAAAGCAATCGCTGATCTGCACTGGGCATGTATTCCAGCAGTAGGCTAAAGATGACGCAGTGATAGTAGCCAGCAGGTAATCGCTTCACACTCTGATCCCTGATCTCGGGTTCCGTCAGCATGCCATCCACGTCAACCGTAAGAAAGTCTGCCTGCAGCACGAGTGCACCCGGTGCGGGGCAGAGATCGAGGGCCGTCACTTCGAGATGCGGAGTATTGCCGAAGGGATTGAAACAGCTGCCCACATCCAGCACACGCAGCTTGTCGGGCGGCGCCTCCATGTAGGCGCACTCAGCATCGGCCAACTCATTATAGGAGGCCAGCAGTCGCTGTTCGCGCAATCGCTTCTGCAAATAGATGCCCTCGATGTAGAAGTACTTGGTTATATAGTCGATGGCCCACTTGATGCGACTGCGTGCGTGCAGCTCCGTCTTGCTGGCATTCGTTTCCCAGATGCCAGCCAATTGCTGCATTGCATCCGCATATTCTGCCAGCTTTTCAGCATTATGAGGTCCAGTGTGCTCCTGCCAAGCGCGCTCGGCACCGTACAATTTGGTGAGTTGACGCAAACTGTCGTGGCAGTTCTTCACAATGTTGGCCAAGCGTTGATGCTCCTCGGTCGCCATGGATTTTATTTCGTTTCTCCCGAGGCGCAACAAATGTGTGTGTATATTCGAGATGAACGATATTTTCATGGGGATGCACATTAATTTGGACGCCACTGTAAAAAATGTATACATTGCCCCTTTATATTTACTATTAAGGCGCAACAGCTCACATAAACAAAAGTGTGACCAGCTCTACAAAAAGAGTTTAACAATTCATTATTTTCCGTCTTTGACTATAGGGTCTCACTTTCCACTTGACTATACGGCAGAATTTTCAAAAGGAAGAGTAAAGCTTAAAATTCACAGAGTGCAACTAATCGGAAACTAATTATACGGATGCGTGATTTTCGCTGAATCATTGAGTGCCACTTGTTCAGAATCTTTCAAAACCAAAAATTAGCTATTTAATAAGCGTTGATGAATCGCTTAGAATTTATAACAATTTAGCAACCTACTAAGGTCAATGGCAATATACTTGACTCGTGTTAAGTAATCGCAGTGAATAACTTTAATTGCCTATGCTGTTTTCTACTCGAGTTGAACCGGTTGCTTGGTAATTGAATATATAACAAGTAGTTAAGTAATGAATATCTCAAGTACGGCAATTATTCGAAAGATAAAACAAGTCGAAGTAACAACAATTGTCTCAACTATAGTATATTATTTACTTATATGATGATTAGGTATGCAGCGATCGAAATGAGGCATACGTAAGACAATTGCGGCGTATTTGTAACGTATTTGTCATCACAACAAAGCAGACTTGGCCACTCGCCTTTGTATGCACATTGATAAGACTATTGCCAGCACCCTAGTAGACAATCATTTGTCTAAATTTGACTTGGACTCCCTTCTTATCATCGCCCAGATACATAAATACTCTGGACTATTGCGAACTACAACTAATGATATATGTAGAACATGCGTGTTGATAGTTCTAGAATGGTATCACTCTAAAGGTCAACATTGTGTAAAAATACATGCATAAAATGTGTGACGCATATACATACCTTTGTTTATGTCTATCGCAACATGACAACCAACTAGGGTGTGCTTGACTTGCAGACACGCTGTAAATAGCTCTGAATTAAGTTAGCTAATCTGCATCTACATTTATGACTTACACAATACCCCTTAAGGCCACTTGAATGTATCTTAACCACTCAGAAAAGTCACATTTAAAAGGTATATCGATATAGAAAGTGCGAAGGAGAAAGACAGAAGGACTGTGAGAGCAGAGAGCTAGTTTAAGCTTATCAAAACACTTACATTCCACTTGTAATGTAATGTTACAGATCTTAACTATAGCTGAAACACACTCTTTGCACCCCATACTTTACCATACTGATATACGACTCTATTTTAGACGCCAGACTGGTCTCAGCATGTATATAGCAAGTAATACCCGTAAAGATTAACAAGTATAATACTCTTTTTAGTCGACAGACACTGATGGAAAGTCAAATATTTTGTAGTTTCGGGCATGCAGGTTGTTATTTGCTTATCAGGCATTTGCTTATCGCTAAATAATCACTGAAATTGGTTCTTAAAGTGTTAACAGCGATTTCGGATGGTCGCTTTGGTAGCGATAAGGATAAGAACGCATTCGAAATTCATTCGTTCAACAGTTCAGTCTTTAAGGGGTCGTCTACCCAGTCGCTTGCTTTTGCCTTAAACTCCACGCTTCGCTTCACAACATCAGCTCGAAATGAAAGTCGAATGGGCGCCGGCAAATGTGCCGCCCAAGCGTCGCTTGGAGACCTTCATCACTGGCCTTTTTACTTTGTTTTTCTTCACGCTACCTCTGACGTCACTTCTGTTATTGGCTTCACTTCTGGTAAGTTGCATCAAAATCTAATTATTTGTTTCGAGTCACTAATTATTAATTATGCTGTGCAGTTCTATGGTGGATTTGTGCTACGCACTCTTCTGGTGATCTATACGGCTTACATATATGTTGATCACAAGCGGAATTACTCAGCTATGGACACCAATGGGTAGGTCTACCATCTCTAATTCTTCCTCAAGATATTTACCTTCACGCTTAAATATGTTTAGCTGGATGATAAATCGCTCGAATTTCATATATCGCATTTATCGTAATTATTTTCCCGTGACATTAGTGAAGACTGCCGATTTGCCGGCCAATAAAAACTATATACTAGCCAGCTTTCCACATGGAATTCTTGGGTAAGATATCTTATCAAATAATATTACACTTATATACACTATAGAATACATATATAATTTTTATACTACTCACTCCATAGAACGGGCATTTGCATCAATATGGGCCTCGACATTAGCCATTGGCTGAGGCTCTTTCCCCAAGTGCGTCCTAAGGTGGGCACACTCGATCAGCATTTTGTGATACCCTTTCTCAGGGATTTGCTGCGCGGGTGGGGATTGATTTCGGTCTCCAAGGAATCCTTGACGTACTACCTCACCAAGCCCAATGATCCCAAGCATCCGAACAATCGTGATGGATTTACATCCAATGCAGTGGCCATTTTGGTGGGCGGCGCTCAGGAGGCACTCGATTCGCATCCCGGCAAATACATTCTCACCCTGAAGAATCGCAAGGGCTTTGTGAAGATGGCCATACGCACGGGGTAAGTGTATCTGATACTGGGCATCGAATAAAATCTGACACTAATCCATGGCTCAGTTCGTCCATTGTGCCAACGATCTCGTTTGGAGAAGTCGACATCTTTGATCAGGTGGACAATCCGCCAGATTCGACGCTGCGTCGCATACAGACGATTGTCAAGAAGCTGACGGGCATCTCACCGCTGATACCCGTGGGACGAGGCTTCTTCAACTATACTTTTGGCTTCTTACCCTATCGGCGACCCATTGTCCAAGTTGGTAAGTGCTAAAACTGATCTTGATTTTGATTTTGTTTTCTAAATTGCGAACTTGTCCATTCCAGTTGGAGCGCCAATTGATGTCATACGCAATGCGCAGCCGGACCCAGCTTATGTGGATGAGATCCATGGCAAGGTAATGGAGGCACTGGAGCAAATGTTCGATCAGTATAAGGATAAATATATGCCCAATTCAACAAAGACGAAGCTGGTCATACACTAAATACACACACACTAACTGTTCGAGACTGGCAGCTCTCCTATTAGAGCGTCGTATTTGACATTTTAAAATCAAAGACGTAAGGTCACACTTAGGCGCATTTGAACTGAAAAGTGCTGATAATATAAATAAATAATAATAATAATGTTGAAATAAGCACCAATACGCACAAATTATAATATTCGCAGTCTTTTGAAAGTTCAAAAGTGATTAAAAATGAATTAAAATCTAGACGAAATGTTTTATAAGCATTTGCTAGTTATTTGTACACAATAAAGAGGGTTAGTTGGTTAATTTTAACGAAAGCGTATGTTCTTTTATTATTATTATTAATATTATTATTAATTTACCAATTAAATTTATTACTTCGTACATAAATATTATATACAAAAAGAAAAGTAGGATTCGAATTTCATATTGGAAAACTTAACTAAATGTTGCTTTTGTGTTTGTGCCATGATCTTTAATCCCATTTTTTCCATTTAATTTTTAACTTTTCGTTTGTATATACTATATAGAATTTTGGTTTAACAACTATATATAAGGAATTTTAAAAATACAATATTATTCTACACTAAATTCAATCGCAGAATTTTTCGAGTAAGGTACAATTAATTTTGGATTTCTTTTCCTTTCTTTTTTAGCAACAAATCACCATTTTGCAATAAGTACTTACTAAAACAATTTATTGGGATTTAAATCATATGAAATAACCTATAGAACTTTGTTTTCATTACTAAACTATATAAAATATCTACAAATATTACTTCCAAAATAAAATACACAAATCTATTAGGGAATTCTGTAAAAGTACGCGTACAATACAATACAATTCAATACAATTTCAGAAGGAACACTTGGCATAACTGGGTTTTGGGTTGGGTTTTTGGTTATGTGAGTACGAGTTGAGGGTTTTATGTTTTGTTCTTTGTTCTTTGTCGTGGCATATGACACCATACAGCTCACCTACAACTCGGCGAAAAATAGTATTGTGTATCGGCTTTAACAACAATTTTTCAAGTATTTCATTTTGTATTTCTTTTAAAGACATATGTACTCACTTTATGTATATGATTATCTCTGTAACACTGTATCTCTGTAGTAAAAACTAAATATATTCTGTGGGGGCTTCTGCTTAGAACGTACTCGTAATATTTGTATATTGCGGCTAGTTGAATATTTCGCTCATTTTCTATAAATCGCTTTCTATATATTCTTGCATTTTTTTTTTTTGGAATCTAGTTATGCGTATGTGTGTGTGGGTGGCAAAAATATATATGTGTTATGTGTATGTGTGTGTGGGTGTGTGTATATAGTATGTATCTATAAGCAATTCAATTGCTATACATTCTAACTATATAAATATAATTTGATTAATTTGTTAATAGCAATACAAAATGTTTAAGTTAGTTTTTGGCATAATTCATATATGTTTGTATGCAGTATGATGATGAGTTAACATTTTTCAAAATTGGATTTTCATTTGGTTGCTATCAATTATTAAAGAGCCTAAAAACATTTGCTAATTCCATATCATATCATATCATATCATATCGTTTAAATGCTAGCTCTCTCTTTAAATTATTTCTACGTTTTAGGTACTAGCCAGGCAGCCGAATTGCGAATTGGGCGCAACAATGCAAAAAGGTTTACGATATTTGCTGTGGTTCCAAAAAGCGTACTTCTTTTATCTAAATTGGTTTTCATATTTTTCACTTGTGGTTTTTTTTTGGGTTTTTTTTTTTTGGTTTTGGTTGCTTTAAATCAATCCCTGAGTGCATTTTTACTTTTTTTTTGTTGGTTTTTGTTTGTAACCGCTTTAATGCTCTGCTTGCTTTATTGCTGCTAGGTTTTCTTGGTTTTTTGGTGTTTTGCTTGTTATGTAATAAGTAAAAAGTTTTTGTTTTCTTTTTCTTGTCTAGTAAAGATTTCAGTTTTCAGCATTATAGAATTGAATTGGTTGTGTGCTGCTTGCGCGCGAGTGCCCTAATTGAAAAAGTTATTTATTTATTAACTACATTTAGATACGAAGGTTTTACATTTTTAGTTTTACCAATCTCAAAAATTTGTGGCTTGTGCTTTAGTTAAGTCGAGAAATAACGTTAAGTAATTTGCTAATTCAATGTTTTTCTTTTATATATATATTTCTTCTTCTTTTTTTTTTTTTTGTTGAGCGCAAAAGGTGCATGGAAGATTAACAAGGACTTAAAGTGTATGTGTGTGTGTGTGAGTGTGAGTGTGTGTAGGTGTTTGATTTTCTGTTTTGGCATAAGCCAATTAACATTGAACATTTATTAATCGTTAGGTTGTTTGTTCTCTTTTATTGGTGTTTCGATTGCGGGCCTAACGGTGAGCTCTAATTAATTTTAATTAATTTAATTTAATTTAATTTTTTTAATTTGTTAATTGTGTAAGTATGTATCTACAAAAGATTTATTTACGCCCTTCCTTTAACAACTTCAAAATATATATGAATTTTGTTTCCGTTTTTGTTTTTGTTCTTGGTTTTTTATTTATGTTGACATATGTATATTTATATATATGTATGCTTTAATATATGTATATATATATGTTTTTTTAGTTTATTTGGTTTTTAATGTGTATATTTAATATATATAATCTTGTATTTTCTTTTCATTTTTGTTTTGTATAATTACAATTGAATTTATAGTATGTACGTATTTGTTTTGTTAGTGGGGCTCGCTTTCATCGCTTTCATCGCTTTCATCGCTTTCATACGCTTCTCAGCCGACAATTCAGTTATGGGTATAACATATGCACTATATGTAGATAAGTACATCTCAGAGATACAATTATTTTCTTAAATTTTTTCTTTTTTTAACTACAACAATGTTTCAGGTTCTATAATCGAATTATCATTTTGTTCAGCTTGCTGGCTTTGCTTTGTAGCTCCTCAATTCGCCAAATAACGATTGCTAATTTCATTAATTTAATCAATTTTGTTTCAATTTTGTTGCAAATTAACAAAATTGTATAGCTTATTAATTTCATGCACTTCATAAGAATGTTTTACATGTAGTATTAGTTTTTATTGGGGTTACATTTTAATTTAGCTATCAGGTTGCGTGTTTCTCTTGTTCTTGCTTTATCGGGTTACACTATATATATATATATATATATATATAGTAGTAGTATATCTTCTAGTTCTACACATGATCAGCTCGCGTTCCATTTGGTTAGTTGCAAATTTAAACCTACACAAAAATCTAATTCAACAATACAACAAAAAAATGCTCTTATCATTAGTAAAGAAAACAATAGTACAATTCTATAAAATTCATAAAAAATTGCATTATACGTTTGAGTGTGTATATTTGTGTGTATTAATGTGTATGTTTAGGTGTGTGTATATGTATGCTTGGTGGATACAGCTGTCTAAACAGCCACAATGGCCGCCATCTACGAAGCAGTCGGCACTGGATTAAAATAATGCAGGCCATTGGTCTGTAATAAGAGAGAGAGCGAGAGAGAGATGGGTTTCGTTGTAGAATATAGATTATATCAGAATTAGTATGTATAACACCCACCGCCATATCGTATTCGGTAATGTAGGCGGGTATTTCCAACTGATCCTTTGTGATGGCCGAATACAAGTGCTCCACGCCGGGCAGCGAGTGCACCTTGGCTTTGATGGCTGGCGCCATGAATGTGGTGAACCACCAGGTCATCATTTTAGTCCAGAACGTGGGATGCACTATGTAGAAGGCCTTCAGATTCTTCTTGTATCTAGGCGAAAGATGATAGTTGATTATAGAAATATTGTTTGAACAGATGAATTACAACTCGATTACTTACTTATATGGCAAGACACTGTAGACCTCACGCAGCCAATGCAACGATGGATAGTTGTTTGTGGATGTGAGTGTGTGGAAGTATGCGATGACATAATCGCCTTTGACAATTGGATCCAGCAGCTTTATCAGATACAACAGTGCCTAGCAGTAGCAGAAGCAAACAATATATTAGTCATCTTCGAGGGCATCGATTAGCTAAAATGTTGGCTTACCTTTTCCAAATCAATATTCTGCGCTGGAAACCATTTGCCACAGAATACAATCACAGGTCTGCCCAGACGATCCACGCCGCTCTGATATAGACAACCGATTCCAGATACCTCATTCAGATCCTCAACCTGTGCGCGCTGCAGAAGGCGTTCATATCTGTAAAAAATAGAAGAAAAAAACCAAAAAACACATTAACAAATATTCATCAAGATTTATTCAATGATTTACATGCACTTCAAAAATTTCCTATAGCTCCTAATTAATCTTACAGATGTGCTAATGGCTGATTGAAACTGTTGTGTTGATACATATCAAGCATTATTTATTTATCTGTCTGTCAATGTGATTCGGTAGCTGTTGACAGCGATGACCCCCACGAGTAGCCGAAATATTTGTGAATCGTAATCGTTGTGGTTGCCTTGTTAACTGCTCGAAATTCGCACCGCATTCGCATTCACGTCGTTTATTTGTTTGTATGTATTTTGAAAGTTACCAGCACCAGTTTTATGAGTGCTTAAACAAAATATGACTTTTAAAGGGGATTTGCTTTATTGTTGTGCTAAAATGAGCGCAAATATTTGTGCGATAAGCTTGAAAGCGAGCGGCCTAATTAAATATTAATTAATGTAGAATATATAAAAATAAACATCGAATTGTCATGTTTTTTCTGGCAATATTCGTGACTGCAGCGATCGTTAACAGGCAGTAGCTTAACAGGCAGTAGCTTAACAGTCAGTTGCTTAACAGGTTAACAGGCAGTTGCTTAACAGATTGACAGGCAATTGCTTAACAGCCTGCTAACAGCAGCTTAGACTGTTAACTAATCTTAAACTAGCTGAGTTCAGATTAAGTCACCTTCCTTCCACTGGCTATATTTGGATCAGTGTAGCACGCCTGACTGAGTCATTTTGGCAAATCATTGACTCCGGGCATATTAAATTTGTAAGGTGTTAATTAACCAGTTTCGGAGCTTATGATTGGCACACGCCCCGCCAATTGTTGTGCCTTGAACTGTGGCAATGTGACGCACTTAACAAAACTTTCGGTCCGGCAGCAGCTGACTGCGAGAGCGATAAGCGCGTAAACCGCAAAATGATAAGAGCAGCGACAGCATCTGCAATGCATGCCCAAATCGGCTTAAGATAAGAAGCGTTCACGATTCTATAATAGAAAAGTTACGCATTGTGACGCAGCGTGCAAATAAGATAAATGTGCATATGCCATATAAAAGTAATATGTGTTTGTATAAACTACTACTACTAATTATACCCTGTATTTATGTACATGAATTGTTTAAGCCCGTGTGAAATTCGCTTGCAAACGTGCTAATTTAGCATGCAGTTTTATGTCTCAGTTAGTGTCTCAGAAGTTGTGCTTGAGATGCGGAAAATTAACTTAAGACTTGCATATTGTATTGTGATCGTGAGTTGCGTTCTTGGCGCAGCCCGGAAATATTCTTCTCTACTGTAGAAATTGATTACTACCCACTCCGGGCCCAACCGCATATTGCATGCCATTGTTCAGTTTGAATTGGCAACTAGACAGGCAACTCTCAGGGTCGTAAACGTGGTTTCAATAATGCATGACTGCTGATGAGCTGTCTACCAGGACCTTATCGGCATCGGCAGTGACTACGACAACGACTACGACAACGACCACATTAATTGGTCATATCGAGCGCTATAAATAAATGATAACTAGTTGAAATTATGAGCAATAATCAGGTCGAGCAAACAATTGGGTTGGGGGTCACAGCAAATGACGTCACGCTATTAAAAAACAAAAATCAATTTGGAAAATTGAAATGAAATGAAAGAAATGCCAAACGTCGTCAGTTTGTTTCATTGTGTGTGTGTGTAGGTGTGTGTGTGTTTGGGTTAAAAAGTAGTTCAATCACTTCTGAGTGTTAATGACTGACTGACTGACTAACTGACTGACTGGCTGATTGGCTGACTGTCAGCGTTCAATTGATTTCTTGCGTCTTTCGTCTCTGTTTACTCTCCTCGGGCGTCTCCATGAGCTCATCGGCGGCCATCATATCCCCAGTGGTCTCCTGCATGGGGCTGGAGCCCAAGTCAATGGACGTCATGCCCTCGAGCATTGTCATAGTGGCTGACTGCCTTAGATAGTTGGGCGATTTGGGTGGGTTGGGTTTTTTTGTTGGTTTGCTTGATTTGTTTCTGTTTCGGTCTCTGTTTCTGTTTTGCTGCCTTTGCTTTTGCTAACTGTTGTTCAATTATATTGTTTTTGTTCCCGTTTAAAGGTTTATCGATCGAGCGAAACGTTGAACGAATAACTATTTGGAATTCGCGTATATTTGCCTGGTGGGTGCACTTTCTCGGCAATTGACGCAAATGGCGCAGACGATTTGCCTCTTTCAGTGACGCTGCTTATAAATAGATTTCTCAATATTTTACTTTTGCCCGAAAAGTCGTATTTAATTTTGCCAGACTTTTGCGTTTCGTACGGAAGCCGCGTCAATAACACTAATTATGACAAACCGAAAAATGTGTAAACTTTTACAGATACAGATATATATATATTTTTGTATATATGTGTATATTGTATATGGGAATATAAGTATTGAGTTTATATAAATCAGTTGGCCAATCTATTCGAACCGTTACACGAACACAAAACGACCGTTCGCCACGAGCTGCGTTTCTCGACTGACTCGGCGGCTGCTCTTGCCTGCTCTTTAGTCCAAAATGCCTCTCTCTCTCTCTCTCTCTCGGAAGCTCTCTCACGGATGGTACGTGTCTACACCAAGAAACTCACAGCACAGCAGCACCAACAGCAGCAGCTGCAGGAAGTTCGCGCTTCCTCCCTTCCTCCCACTCTCTCTCTCTCTCTCTCTGTCTTGCGTCTGCGCTTTTTTCAGCTGTGCAATGACATCAACAGCAACAACAATATTTATTATAACAATAATAACAATTGTGGGTGCACAGGACACAACTATCCAAGGACATGCTACCTGCCTGCCTGGTTGCCTGCCTAGTTGCCTGCCTGGTTGCCTGCCTTTGTTGCTTGCCTAGTTGCCTGCCTGGTTGCCTGCCTGGTTGCCTGCCTTTGTTGCTTGCTTGACAGCCGCCAATCGCATAATGCAAATGCCATGTCTGTCCAACGAATCAGTTGAGAGCCATCAAATGTTTCGAGTTCTTTTGTGCCACTTTTTGGACAGCGCAACGTGACGTATGCGCAATTTCTATTTAAGCCAATGCAAATAGCCAACCAGCAAGCCAAACAAACAAACAGTTAGCATGTGATAAGTGTGATAAACTAGAAGATATCCTTAAATCAACTAGAACGCATTCTTAATTGTAACACTTTACTCACTAATAAAGCAAAAATAGCATATTTAATTGACTACTTAAGATACCAGGTTGGTTTATTATGCCCTGCGCCATAAGCAAGCATAGTAATATCATTCCAGATACAACACATTTGTGCAGGGTATAAACTGTAGCTGAACCCAGCTGAATGCTGAATGCGGAATGCATTGAACCAATCGTCACTGTGACTGACTGTGAGTGGCTGGCCTGTTTATGAACACACACATGCCGAATAATTACATAAAAAAATGTAATTTATTGAAATGAATTGAAGATTTAAATGACTACAAAATGCGATGACACCCGATCGGATCGAGTTGCGAGTTGCGAGTCGGCAACAAGTCAAACAAATGCAACAAAATGTGCGGTTGCATTCAATGAACTGCAACATTCACGTGTTAATCACAGGGAGGAGGAGGAGACGGAGGGGGATGCTGCTAATTTAGAATTAAGATGATTATAATTAAGTTGAGAGAAATAATGTCATCGCATTGACATTGGCAGCGTAACAAAACCGAATTTCAACTTGAAACATCAAATGAATTTAATTTAATGCGAAACTTTTGCAGTTTTTTCTTTTTTTGGCTATTTGCTATTCATATTTTGGATTTGGCTTGGATTCGTTTTGGGTTCACAATATGAATTGCGAAATGCAAATTAAAACGCCACAAAGATAAAAGGTAAACAAAAGATATTGCGAGGGCAGCTTAGAAACTTTTGCGCACTCAAAATAGATCAATAAAAGATGTTGCGACTATAAATATAATAGTTATCCTATGAACCACCCTTGTGAACCACATAACTGATGTTTATTATTATTTAGTATTTATCGCTTGACACTCACTCAACGATTTGAAAGGGTTCCAAGTCTTATTTGGACACGTGCTTGAGTATTTTTAGCCGACTGATTAGGTACTTATATTTAGTGTGTGTCCAAAAATGGACTTGGACTTTGGACATGCCATCGATGACGTAGTCAATTTGGTAGCAATGACGTCGACAAGCTTGAGGATGCGGGTAGTCGGGTAGTGTGGGGCTTATTAGACTTGGACTTGACTTCAATTGCACGAAACTAGTTCGCGTGCCAATGTCCTGTAAAATTTACATAGGCATAGTTATTAGGCAGAGGCATTTTGGGCAGGCAAAAGGCAACAGCAACAGCAACAGCAAAGGCAACCCGGTCAAAAGAAGTCATTTGTTAGACGCTTAAGATATTTCCGGCACGCGCACACTAAACACACACGAAACGTATTTATTTAAGAGTATTACAAGAAATACCTAAAGCAAATGTTTATGTGGCCACCTAAGAATGGGAGTGGCTGTCGGGGGTTGGGGCTGGAAGGTGTTAGCTGTTGGCTGTTGGATCTCGTGGCAGTTTTATGAGCTGCAGACGGAGCAGTTGGGAATACATGCTCAAGTGTCATTGTAAATGGGGTAGGAAATGTATTTAATGACGCAAGCGTTGAATAACTGATATGTCCAGATATGAATGCGTCTGTTTGTCTCTTGCCGTAAGAAAGCAGCAGCAGCAGCAGCAACCAAAACAGGATTGATTTCACTCTGCAACACGCTGCATTAACAATAGTATATCTATTAAATGGCAAGGACTTTAAGCACAGAAGTACAACAGACTATTCACAATAATATTGCATCTGCATATTCATGTTACACTTGAGTTGAACGGTGTTTCCCATCATTAAGCTATGTGTAATTATATAGCATGTAGCTACAACACTCCAGTGAGCAAATGTCTTATTTTATGCTTTAGCATTTAGCTTTCAATTGTGTTCCACTTTGTTGGCCGCACTTACCGCTCTTGATGCTCCATGCCCTCAATGCCCTCGGCAACGACGCTCTCGTAGACGCCAGCTCTTGGCCGATCGCTCAGCAAATGCTGCCTGTCCAGATCGAGCTGTGTGTATGAAAGAGATTGTAAGTATAAATAAAACAAGAAGAGATAGCGAGAGAGGAAGAGATAGAGAGAGAGTGAAAGAGGGAGATTATGATGGAATTAACCTGTAGCTGTGCCTGCAGTCCGCTGCTGTAGGAATTGAGGCTGAGGCCATTCATATCCCGGCCGCCATACTCCAGATCTGAGCTGTTGCCCTCCATATCGTGTGGACTCACGTCTGAATCGTCGTCAGCTGTGTGTTGAGAGAGAGACAGAGAGAGAAAGAGAGTGGAAGAGAGAGAAAATTAAAGTTTAGTTGTTTTTCGAGAGTATTTTAGAGATGCCAAATGCATTTACATGAAAACTCAAATGAGTTGTTTATCATATTTGTTGATGTTATTGTTTTGGTATTGTTGTTGTGGTTGTTGTTGTTGATTTATCTATTATCAGTTATTATCAAAGCTCAGACTCAATTCGCAAACTTTGTTCTTATGCCTTCAACTTCAGCGCTGCGTAATTTGATATCAACTGAAAGCGACGCCGGCGCCATCAGCATTTGAACGCCGCTTTTGTCAGCTGCAGAAGTGACAGCGACGCCGACTGCGACTGCGACTGCGACAGTGGCAGCGTTGAGCGCTTGGCTGAGCCAGCGAGCGAGAGGGAAAGCACCGAGACGCCCCCCCATCTGCAGCAGCTGTTGGGCGAAGGTGGAGCTGAGAGCAGCGGATAACCAGCGAAGGGGCGTCGGATGAGCGCGATAAGCGAGTTGCGTTTGTTTTGAAACGCTGACATGATTTAAGTGGGCCAAAACGAATTTTGCCAAGACAACAAGCAGCCGCAACAACAACAACAACAGCAACAGTAGCAAGAAAAACTACAACAGCAGCAGCTACTCATCTTAGCATCATCTTGTCATGATAAGCCGCAGAGTTAATTTCAATGTTTGACAATGATCTTTCTTTTTAGATAAGCAGCATCTAAAGCGTAGAAGAACCTCATCACGTACATTTTTGTCGACCAAACAGAAGCTCAGCGATGATCGCTTCTGATAAGCAAATTCAGTTCCTGATATTGCTATTAGCATTCTTTGCTAAGGGGATTTATTTGGCATTTATAATTACATACTCAAAGAACTAAATAAACAAAATGTGAAATTGTATTTTAATCTTTCTCTGCAAATTTACATTTTCTCGTAAATTTTAAAGTAAGTTGAGATGCTAAATTTCCAAAAACCTGAACTAATAGCGAAGCGTTAATTGTTTTTTGCCGCTACTGTTTTGGAATTTAAATTTGATTTCATATCTGCCAGCTTTTTTTTATGAAGCAGCTTGAAAGTATGCAACACTTTTTCCCACATAGCTTGCTAACTGGCAAACTCGACGCTGACGTCAGTCGCGTGAGTTGCTGCAAATCGTCACAACTTTGTATCAGATTAACAAATATGAATAATTTAAAACAATTTAATGCCGTTTGTACACAAGTTTATAGTTTAAGATCTCTGAATAGATTTATGAGCACTCATTCAACACTATTTTGTTGCAAACTTTTCATTATTCACCTACAACTGTGCCTTAAATCGTTTTGTTGACGCGCAATTGTTTAATCAGTTGTGCAAAATGAAAAACGATGGAAGAAAATTGGAAAATAGATTGCGTTTGCCGTTGAATGACCACACGATGGCGTCTTCAAAACGTAACTGAAGCCATACAAAATGTGTATGGATTCGGATTGGGAATGGGAATGGGAACTTGGCCAACGCACAAGCATATATCAAACGGCTCTGTCTTTGTATGTGTGAGAGAGTGTGTGTGTGTGTGAGAGAGAGTGTGTGTGTATGTGTGTGTGTGAGTTCTAATCTTATCGACATCGACATTATCGTCAGCTGTTGACGGGCTAAACAAGGCAATAATTCCAAGGGAACGATATCAAAATCACAGCCAGTCGAAGCCAGCACAAACACAAACATAAGCGATAAGTGATAAACGATAAACGATAACCGATAGACACTTACCGTGTCGATGACGCATGTGCACACTGTGACTGTGCTGCGGATTGCGTATGATCCGTATCTGCCGATCCGGATCGGGATGCTGAGGTTCGCCCAACTCGCCACCGGTATCCTTGGGCAGCTGCCACAGCGCACTGCGCTCCTCGAGCTGATCGCGTGGGAAATAGAGCGGCGCCAGCACCTCGTAGGTGCCACGCTCGCTGCTGTTGACGCACAGTATCACAACCTGCTGTGTAAACTTGTCCAGAAAGCGACGAATGGTGCCTGTATATGAATAGAAAAGATACACTCGAATTAATGATTGTTTGCCTGCAATCAGTCTATATACATTTCTGATTTGATTGTCTTTGCTGCAAGGTGCAGCAGAAACTAATAAAAGAAGGAGTGATCGAATTGTTCCCCGTAGTCTGAAATGAAGTAGGAAATTTGAATAGATACTCAATCAAATATAAGTGATAATGTGATAATCATAAAAACGAAGACAAATCAAATGCTTTTAAGAAATAACTCTTCATGGACAATAAATGAACAAATTTAAGTGATTAAAAAACAGGTATTAAATTTAGAAATACATATATCATAAATGGCTCTACTGCAGTTAGATAAATAGAGATCATTGTTATATAAATAAGAACAGTATTATAAGGAATAAAATCAGTTCAAAATACAACTGCATCGTGGCTAACCACTAAAATGCATTAAGCAATAACACAACTCATACTATACACTCACTGACCAATCAAATCAGATAATTATAGACCAGATGACTACATAGATATATATATATATATATATATATAGATTGCTGTCATTACTCACGCAGGGCAATGTGCGCGGCTACATCGGCTGGAAATGTCTTCTGATTGCCACTCACATTGCACACGGCAATTGTGCGCAGATTCAGCTCCTTGGCCTTGCAGAGAACGTTTCTGTGTTGGTTGGTTAAAGGAGTAGAGTGCATTAGACAAGTGCAACAGAAATGTGTGTCTGTCATTGGCAGGCTCACCTGTAACAGCAGTGCAACGCATTCTCGGCGGCCGTCTTCAGCTTCTCCTTGTAGGCGGGTGCAACAGTGTGCAGAACATACTTGGCTGGCAGATTGTATCCACGCGTAACGCGCACATCACCAATGCGGCACTCTGAAAGAGGATACACTTCAATGAGTTCAGTTCAAGGGGAAGGACTTATTCCAAAACAGTGGCCTTACCCTTTACAGTTGTGCTGAGCTCCTCTTTGAGCTGATTGCCCGCAACGGCAATAATGCGCTCCGATATGCAATTGCTTTCAGTCAGGGTTTCATCGCTGCTGTTCGTGATGGCGTCCACCTCCAGTGTGGTCATGTCGCCATCCCTTTAAATGACACAGGTGCACAAGTTAGTTTGTTAGAGGTAGAGGTACAGGTAGAGGTAGATTAATGTCGAGGACTCACCAAATCACCAGGCGATTGTTGACATCTTTGGACAGGGGAAAGGGACTGCAATTGTGCCGCGGCCCGCCGAGTGTGGAATAATCCGTTAAGGGCAGCCGTGTGTCCGTCTTCTGTGAGCCACCCCAAGTGGCCAAATTATCCAATTTGACAAGCTAATTGGAAACGAATTGGAAAACGCAATTAATCACTGGCATTGACAGAGCGCTGAGAGCTCAGTTTAAAACTTACACATGAGCTGGTGCTGGAACTGGAGCTGGAGTCGAACGCTTTGAAGTCCACATTTGAGTTCGTGTCGAGACGCATTGCGCTACAATTGGGAATATTGAAATTGTTAAAGAAACAATATATTTGAAGATCTGCAAGATTTAAAATGAGTTTGTGCGAATGAAGAATGGACTGAAGACGATGTTAAACAGTGTTTGGCGGATCAAAGGGAAGAAATGGAGATGAAGAGGCAAAAATTCGATGAGAAACAAGGTTAACTGAAGATTAACATAAACTGTTAGCCTAAAGATGAATAAGAACCTTAAAATTAGATTTAGATGACTACGCAATACGCTGAATCAAGTTATGATGTTTTCCTCAGAAAAATACTATACCCTTTATCACTATGCGGTTAGATCTATATACATATATATATATATATATATATAGCCACCAGCTCTTATCTCTTATCCAAGATTTTTTTCGTCTTGGGGGTTTCTAGGTCTACAGTCGACTGTCAAGAGATCGGTGAGTATTGTAAGTCATTGAAATACATTTTATATATCAGAGTAAATTTAGGCGACATTTTGTGAGTCACTGTTTCTCGACTGTTATTGCCGATCAATAATACATATAATTTATGACCTCAAATGCCATCTGTTGTACACATTTGCTCAACTTGCAGATACCCTTTATGCATTTGACAGAAAGAGTTCCTGCACACAATTCAGACACTGCAGTAAATATTGTATCTGGGCATTCTGAAGACTTTGAATATGTGTGTGGGCAAAGTCGGTCTGGCTTGCTGGCCCAAAAGCTTTACGAAATCTATGCAAACACTCGCCTTATCGCCGCACAAACAAACCACACCAGACCAGACCAGATCAGAACGGAACGGAACGGTCTGAGTCACGATCGGAAACGTCAACGAACTGAGCTGAATAACAACTAGTTTGGCTGAGCGACTAACAAAAGACACAACCGTTGGCGATAGCTGCCCAATTTGCAAGCAAACAGCAAAAGCAGCCAAAAATACACTTAAAAAAACTTAAACTTTTCGTTACGTTTGCGATTTATTCAAGTCGAACTAAAAGAATTGAGTGTCCCACACGAGGAGGAGGCTATTCATATCTCGAGTGATGCACTGGCAGCCTGCAAAGTGCCTCTTGCCACGCCTGTTCCACCTGCTGCTGGTGCCACCCACTTACTTGCTGCTATTTGTGGCATGTGCGTCACACGTCGAATGGCAGGTGAGAGGCCGTTGAAAACAAAGACAGCGCCTGCAGCCTTTTTTCAGCCTGCAACATGCAACATGCAACAACCAGTGCAGCTGCAGCTGCAGCCCGCTTCCTTGCCTAATTGCCATATCCACACACTGCGTGCACATTAAGTGCTTCATCTGTCTCCCTGTTACCCTTCCCCCCTCTCCCACCATCTCTATCTGTGTGTTTTTTTATGGACACCAGTTGAACTTTGGCCTTTTGCAGAGCAGTTAGAAAATACTGCAGGTATGCTATGGTAGTATATAGTATATAGTATCTGGTATCTATATGCAACATCTGGTATATAGTTATGTGGTATATAGTCCAAGCACTGGCCTAAATTGGCTGTGGTAATCTGGCTCAAGGTGCCATTTTCGAGTGCTGATGATAACAAAAGCGCAGCACAATGAACAACATGCTAACAAATACACACACACACACACACACACACACACACCCACACACACACACACAAATACCCGTTAGGCACATGTGCGCAAACAATAAACTGATAAATTTATGTGCCATTATTATATAAGAGGAGTACTACTTACAGCAACACACACACGCATGCCACATATATTTTCAATTGTACACAATACGCACATTGATAAATTAATCTGCAAATATGTTTGCATTTCAATTCACAAACACCAAACATTAATGTGCAATAACAACCAGATGTGGCGCATTCTGAGCTTGCTCGACGGGGGGAATACCCCGCAAATATACAAATATATTTACTAACAAGCAAGCCGAAGATGATATACCCTTGAAGATCGGAGTTTGCATATTGTTCAGAGTTTGTCATATTATTGTATATATTTTGCTGCAAAGAGAACATTCTACTTTTAATGTGCAACAAATGTTATTAAAGACAAACGATCCTCCAATCTTTAGCAAAACTACGTTTGCTGATGCTGGTCAAGAATATATATATAGTGTAGACTTCTCCTTCAATGAGCTGCAAATTTGAAGACAAAAATTCAAATACCCACTGCAAATAATTGAATAGAAAACTGGTTTTGAAATAACTTCTGTTTTGAGCAGCCGTGAAATTATTCGCTTCATTATCAGCCTTCAGTTGGAAATTGCTTGGCGAGGGGAAGGGCAACCAATTATTTATCGTGCTAATTTGTATTAAAAAATGTGGATTCTAGCAATGACTTTAATAATTTTATGTATTTAATTAAATTTTGTTATGCGACTTGCATTTATCTATATATATATATATATTTGCAATGGGGTTTTTCTCTGTTGTGTTCAAAGGTGAATTAATCACATTTTTGTATATATCTTAAATAACTTCCAACAGTTTCCCATGAGACGTTTATTTGTCTGGACTCTTGACTTTAAGGTGATCTTTTAATTCCCATGACTTGGCTAACGTAATTTAGATTTCCAGAATATTTGTCTTGTTTTCGTGCCATAGATTTTCATCAGTGTCGGACGTGTCTAAACAAAAGTCTGTCAATCTCTTTTTTTTAAGAATATTTGGTACACAAAGAGGAATTTAATCGTTTGGTGCGGCGGAACAATCTGTAGACCCCAAAGTCATCCGAGACTGATGTGCATAATACTAGCAAGCGTGGAAAAGTCAACAGTTGGTTCAGCAAGTATTTGCCAAAGATACACACACACACAGAGAGAGAGCTATATTAAGAGCTGACTAAACCCTAATAAAGAAACTAAATAAATTTGCCAGTAAGAATGACGCGACAATGCATCAGTTTTTCCATATATATATAGTATATAGTCATATATCTCAGATACATGTGCATATTTGTATAGTGATTTATTTGTCACGTTTTTTATGCAGTTTTCGTTGTTACTGCGCCACAGCAACTGGGCGCACCCTGTATACAAGTCGAGAGCTGGTCTTACCGGTAAATCAAAATTGACAAATATTTACGCGAGAGAGAGTGGGAAAGAGAGAGGGGGAGTGTGTGTGTGTGTGTGTGTGTGTGTGTGTGTGTGTGTGTGTGTGTGTGTGTGTGTGTGAGGGGCACAGTTGTATGTGCAGGTGTTTCAGTGCACAGCTGTAGCTGTTAATGACAACCATTGTAATTGCAAATTTTTTGCTGGAAAACTAAGTAGTTGTCTCTGCCTCCCATCCACCCCTCCTAAAATAATGTGTGTGTGTCAGTGTGTGTGTGTGTGTTGACTTTTGAATGAGCTGCGTCTCAACTTGATAAGCAGCGTCGCACGTTGTCTGCTCACAAACTTAAGGCAAACAAATGCCGTCAACAAAAATTTAGACGTTATGTGCTAGACTCTTAGCGCCAGTGTAGGAGTGTGCTCTTGTGTGTGTGTGTCTGTGTGTGTATGTGTGTGTGTGTGTCTGTGTGTGTGTGTGTGTGGGTGTGTGTTTGCGTCAGACGATCACATCATCACTTAGCAGTTTACAGTTTGGCAGTTGAGCTGACTGATATTTAGTTACAGCAAATTGACAATTTGGATACATTACGTATACGCAGCGCACACAACACAAAAGCTAAATGTCAAAATCGAATTGAATTATATATGAGAACGCAATCGCCAATGTCACGCCCACTCACCCACCCACCCAAACGACTTCAGCTGCCCGGCGAGCAATAACCCAACTCAAATGGAAGACTGTTAACTATTCCTGTTGCCGTTGTATTAGTTAATCCTGTTGTAGCTACTATTTCTTGCTTGCTAGTTGAAGTTGAAGCTGGCGTGCTTCAGTCAATTATATTCTACTACAGCGACGAACTGCATGCCATGTTTTGTTTTGTTTTTTTCAGTTTTACTTGTGGCTTTGCTTACTGCTTAAATGTCAAATTGTTCTGTCTAGAAATGTGTACGCTTTCCCCCCACTCGCCCAGCACTCACTCCTCAGCTAATACTTTATGCAGCATAATAATAGTGACAATTGTTATATAAATGCTTAAATAACAACAATTTATAAAAAAAAAAATAAATCGTGGAATATTTTGCATGAGTTGACAAGTTAATATGAATGTTTATTCTGAGCCTGCTTAACTTTGTCGATTGTTGACTATTCATTTGCTAAATAAAGATAAACAAAAGAATAAACATGAGAAAAATATTCTTTGATTTTCGATGCAAATTGACACATTCCATTGGTAAGTGTTTATAAAGGCGAATGCAAAAAGAAATACGACATTTTTATTGAGTGTTAACTGAGTAAGATGAGCGTCTCATCAATAATTATTCTATCGAAATATATACAGGGCATCTGCTGTGTCGATCATAGCTGATTACTTGCCGCAGTGCAGTGGCAACGCTTACGTGTGTTGTTGTGATTACTCCTGAGAAACATTTCACATTTGTTATGCCTGTGCTTCCCCTTGTAAATATTTTGCATGATTTTTGTGCTGGTTTTTGTTTTTTTTTTTGTTTTTTTCTTTTGGGTCGCGTTGCAGAGTTTTGTTTTCGCTACACGCTCAATCCGCCAAACTGTTGCATAATCAATGCGAAATTGTCGCCCACATGCCAAGGACTGGCAAGGACTAATACCTCTGATACCTGCTCATATGGCCTATACATAGCATATATATATATAAATATGTATATATATATATCTGTTTCTGTGTGTGGTAACTGCGCTTGGCACGAAACGAAGCATTACGTATACGGCCTGCTGGCATTGTCCTTTGCCTTTTTGTGATCTCTGGCCGAAAAACGTCCATAAAGAGACCAAAGGCAAACGTAAGAAACGTGTCGAGGCTTAAACTAAACTTGCCACGGAGCACAAAAAGGGGCAAGGAGTACGGGCATGGCAATGGCACTGGGATTGGGATTGGGAATGGGACCGGGGGAAGGGGGAAGGAGAATGGGCATACCGAATGACAATGCCAACTTTTTTTTTTTTGTTTTTTGTACCAGCCAGCGCGAAAGTTCGATTTGTTTATGTTCGAATTTCGACGCTTAACGCCAACGTCAACCATATTCTGTGCTTGTTATTGTTTTTTTGTTTCACTCTTATTACGTTGTTGTGTCTCGTCTGTTGTTTCCTTGTTTATATTTATTTTGAATGCGTCATTCGTCGCGCCTTGTGGGCTCGGTCTCCGTTTTGGTTTTGGTTTTGGTTTTGTTTTCCGACTCTTTTCAATCATTCAGTCGAAAAAACTAATCTGAGAATGGCGTATAGTTGTTCTCTCCCAAAAAAACAAAAAAAAACCTGTCCAAAAGCACTAGGCAACATCCATCAGCATTATTTCCAACATGATCATTAGCTCATCATGTTCTCATCGAAACCTCGAAGCTTCTTGGTTGGTTAGATGTCAATTTCACATACGAATGCATTTACATAATGTTCGCATTAAAGCCATTCCTTCTATATACCAAAAAAAAAAAAGCTTACTATATAATAATATGCGTGTCTGCGTGTGTGTTTGTGTGTGTGTGTGTGTGTGACTAGCACTGCCCCCATTCGCATTATTTATATCGCAGTGAGTCGATTCAGTGTCATACTCGTGAATTTCACGTTTTCTTTGCCGAACGGGCTTATTAATAACTAATATAATCGTTATATCATTCATTTGTGTTGAGCGCGCAACGCACAGCGGGTCAAATATAACGAATATTCGTCACTTTCATTAGTAACTCGCAGTCCCTTTAACAATATCTAGTCGCAAATGTGCCTCATGATATTTTTACTGAATTCCAGTTGCCACTGCTGCCTCCACTGCTGCTGCCACTGCTGCTGTCCACTGTATCGAATAGTAATCTAAGCATATTACTATTTAATAGAGTTACTAACAGGTTTTTGGTGTTTCCACTTCTGCCGGACTATGCGTATACGCTGTAATTGCAAATAATACGTATACGACACGTTGAACATAGCTTTAAGAATTCGAATGAATTGATATAGCGAAGCGATTGAATAAATTCAATTTCATGTAATATCATTATCTGAAATTGGATCTAATTGAACCCATTGCAGACTGATCGATACATCCTCCATTTGCCACATTTATGTGGAGGAGGGCCTTAAAAAGCATTTCATAATTGAGCTGCAAGAGCGCATTCAGCCGGGAAATGGCTCAGGGTGCACAGAATAAACACACACACATACACACACTCACACACACACATTTGTATCTTTATGTTGTGTGTATTGGATAAACAAAGTACAAAGAGCATGTGTGCACAGCAAATGGTAAACTGGTAATAGGGGAGGGGGGTGGTGGGTAGTAAGGAGGAGGAGTGTGTGGGGAAAGGACAGTCAGACGCTTGTCCAATTCAGACAATTAATCAGGTGCCCTTGTGGGAGTTGGCTGTGTGGGTTTCTTTTTGTGTGGCATTGTCTGCTGCAGTCTTGCACCTGGACTTCTTATCGAGGTCGTCGTCGTTTTGCGCACTTAAGTTTTTATGTAAGTCAAGACCCGATTATTTATGAATATTCGCAGAAAGTTGCAATGCATTTTGTTGCACGTACTGAAAGAGAAAAGCTTTTCTGCACCGAAAGAGAAATGGAGAAACCTGCTCCTCTGCTTTACTTACTTACTTACTCCACTGTGAGCAGTGACCAGTGACCAGTGGACCAATAATAAATAATTACGTTCTTTAATGGCTTCCACTTACAGTTAGTTTGTTGTTTTGCTTTCTCTTTCTCTTTCTGATGCTGCTGCAGCTGCAGAGTCGGACAGCAAAACCGTTGCACAAGCTTTTGAAGGTTACGTTTTGATAGGCTAGTGACACACATGTGTGTGTGTGTTTGTGTGTGTTTGTCTATTCTATTATGTATGTGAGTATATGTGTGTGTGTGTGTGTGTGAGTGTGTTTATTCTAAGAGCCCAAGTAAGGAAATTACTGTGATTTTGAAACCTATTTAGTTGAAAACCACTTTTATAGTACAACTGGAATTAGCAGCACAACTGACTGCTGTATGCCATATATTCAAATATAGATCTACATACACCTATATCTATGTATCTATGTGTGTGTCAAACTACAGTGACTGCAAAAACTTCACACACACTCGACACTCGACGACTTTGGCGACGTTTTTCAAAATGAAAACACCAAACAAAGAAGAAGAACTGCCAAGCGCCATCTAAAATTTACACTCACACGCTCAGTTACATCAACACACACAATCACACAAGCGTAACTTTGTGTGGGGGGAGGGGGGAGTGATGGGGGCGTTGGGAGTAAAAAGAAAATGCGGTAGTCAGTGTTAGGCGCGGTGTGTATGTGTGTGTGTGTGTGTGTGTGTGTGAGAGTGTATTTCAGGTAACTCTACGAATGTGTGTATGGGTGTATGTATATGCATGCATGTATATGAACGTTGTTGTGTTGGTATTGCCTGAAATGAAAACTTGCTTAATTTTTACGCACTTTTCTCAATGATATTCAAATCGTCGAACAATTTACACACTTCCCAACACTTGATGGCTAGTTGTTTCGTTTTTGGTTTTTTTTGTTTCTCACTTCTTGTTGGTTTATTACTTCACTTTGTGCACTTTTTGGGTGTTGATGTGTGTGTTTTTGTGTGTTGTGTGTGTGTGTTGCAAATAAACTGGCTCGTCAAGCTCGTCGCTTCTGCCCACCGCTCGTCACGAATCCACGTTCGACACTGAAAAGCTCGCGTTTTGCGGGCTTAGACTTTTTTTTGTGGGGCTTGAGGTAGTGCCCAACAATAAGCGCTAAAAAATTACAAATGATAAGACCGTGCAAAAAAAAAAAATACCAAACGCGCTATTGAGACTACACATGCGCTGCATGACAAAAGCTGACTGCATTTGTCCATGTGAAGAGCAAGGCGCGCACGCTTGACAAATTTGAAAAGCTAGTTTGAAAGAACGGCAGCATTGTACAAACTTTTGCAGTGTTATGTCATTAAAACCGAAAGTTGAAGACATTAATACCAATAAGCAATCACTTATTACGTAGCCATAAAATATGTGAGAAATCCTCTTTTTTTCTATGTGCGTTGCCCGCACAACTTAATCGGAATCCATAAATCATGTCCACGGCTGCAGAAGATTTGTCATATTTCATATTTGCGGACACTTGTGAACACAGCCGGGTTCGGGTTCAAGCTGGACCAAAGATGCATTATTATATGATACGAACATTGGATTTTGCCAAACAAATAATTATACAACAAACAGGCGAATTTGCTGTGCGGCGGAGAGCGCAGGAGGAACAGGCGAAAGCCGCCAGATTCACTTTCAGTTCCAGTTCGGTCTTCAGCTGGAGGATATGAAGATGCAGCTGCAGCTGTTGGATCACAGCTTGTCTCTGTCATAATCAGCAGATGTTTGGCCGAATTCGAAAGGAGGAAATCGCCCGTGGCCAAACAAAAAGAGACAGTAGTCGAGTGGACGATAAATAAATAATAAATGCATTGCGAAATTATAATTTTTTTTTGTATTTTTGTTGGTTTTATACTTTTTAGGTATTTTTTGTTGTTTTTATTGAAATTCCTTAGATCGCAAGAAGCGCACAGAAGTAATATGTATATGGTAAATTGTTGTTGTAGATACATACATAATAATTAAGATTATTATTTATATAATATATATATATATATACATATATATATATATATGTAATATGTAAGTAATATTTATATATTGTGGGTGTGTGTGGTGTATTTGTGTGTGTGTCTCTGTGTGTGTGTGTGTGTGTGTAAATAGTGTGTTTATGTGTGTGTGTTGTGTGTGTGTATTAATAGATACACATATACATATATTGTATAGTGTGATATAGTAGAGTATAGTATAATTATGCATAATTATAATATTATATACAAATCTCAATAGATTGTTGATTGATTTGATTTGATTTCATTTTGATTTCATTTTGATTTCCTTTCGGTTTTTCTTCCTTTCATGTACATTTATTTATTTATCTCGTGTTTTGTATACATTTAATATATTACAAGCAAAATATTTTTTCAAAAAATGTCCACTTGTTTTATATCTTCTTTTCTTGTTTTGTATTTCTCTACACACTTACAGACTATTCGCTCTATTTATCATCATCCTCATCATCATCATCATCATAATCTGCTTCAATCATTCGCTCTTCTTTCGTTTTCTTACAGCTACTATTATTTATATATATATATATATATATATATATATATATATATATGTATATGTGTATATGTATGTATATATATATATATATTTTTTTTTTTTCAGAGTTATATATAAAAATGATGTGAGCAAAGTTGAAACATTTTCTCGTTAGTCGAAAACGTGTTGTGAATTGAGTCTGGTTTTCCTTTTTGTTTTGGTTTGGAATACATACACTATACACACAAACACACACAGACCCAGACACACACACACGCGTACACGGGCTCTTGCGATACACACACATACACATCATACTTATATATAAACATCAATCAGTGTCACACATTTCGCTTAAACTAAAGTTAATACAATACAAAAATTCAAAAACACAATTCTCGAGCCTATGCAAAGAAAATGTTAAATGGAAAAAAAATAAAATAAAAGTTGACAAACGCAATCAAGTTAAAGTAATAGTACAGTTAACAGTTAAGAGGAAACATAGCATATATATATATACATATATAGCATATATATACACTTATATATATATGTATAATTTTGTGTTGGACTTCAGTGTTTTTTTGTTGTTTTTTTGTATGTTGTCTTTCATTGAATATTGTTTTCAATGCAATATACAATTATTTATATATTTCTCTTAAATCGAGTTTATTCTTGTATTATTATAAGTATGGTATATTGTGGATGTATATATATATATATATATTCGTATACATACATATATATATATATATTATGCGCTATATGTATATCAGTTAAATCATTCATAAATTATCACCCAGCAGTTTTTAACAAAGAACAAACAAAGAATCAAGCCAAAACACAGTCACTCAATCACAAAACATCACAATACATCAATCAATCAATCAATCAATTACGTTGCTGCTGCTGCTGCTGCTGCTGTTAAACTTCACTAGATACCATTAGTTTTATATTTAGTTATATTATTATTATTATTTGTATATAAACTACAGCTCTACACAGTTTTCAACTTTTACACGCATATATAAAAGGATACACTGAAAATATTTTAGCAAAGTTTTCTGTTTGTTGCTTTAAAAAACTGTTAAGTAAAAAATTTGATTTTTTTTTTTCTTTTGGAGATTTTGATTTGCGTTTTTCATTTGACATGCTTCAAGTGTTTAATTTTTTTTTGTTTTTGCCTTTTTTTTTTTGAAAATTATAAGCTGCTTGCTAAGCTTTTATCAACATCATTGTATTTTCAGTTATCAGATTTTCCAGCTTTTCCATTGAGCATCGTCTCACGCTGAGATACATTTAGTTTCGGGTTCAATAACTGTAATTGCATGATTGTACCGTACTTAAGAGCGACACAGTTACAGTTAAGATTTAAGAGTTAAGATTAAAGATTACAGATTAAAGAGTTACAGTTAAGAGTTAGCATTAATGTTAAATCATATACAATATATAAATACAATTTTTACTTGCACATCTTGTCAATTTCGACAGCTACAAATTTGACTAATATTTATTCTTTTTTTTTTCTTTACTTTTCTTTTCTTTTTCTTTTTTTTCTTTTCGCTTATGTACATGTCATAATTTCTGCCTTGTAATTATTTGTTTATGTTTTTTTGTTTTTTATGGTTGATAAGTATTTGTTTTTTTTTTAGGTTTTTTTTGTTGATTTTTTTTATTTGTAAATATATTCATGTATTGTATTTATTTGTTTAATATATGTATGTGTGTGTATACGAAGATAATTTGCTTGGAATTTCTATGCGGCGGCACGGAGGCAGCTGCGCTTATAGCATTTGAACAAATTAAAAAAATTATAATATTGGATGATGATGGGCTATTTAGGATATATATATATATATATATATCCATTTGTATATGTATATATCGATATATTTATATATGGTATGGGGAGGAGGCTGGCTGGCTTGCAACTGGGCTGCAAAACAACAAATGGGAGGAGTAAATAAAAATTGTTTTAAGTGTGTTGCGCCGCAATTTTAACTCTTTTTATTAGTACAAAATCAATCTTGAAATGTGTGCGACGAGCAGAGCCGGGTGGCAAATTCGGGGAAGGCCAAGCGAGGGGCTATCGAAAAACTGCAAGTTTGATAAGCATTTTTGAAGATTGTGTTTTGTGGATACAAGACAAACTCATTTTTTTTTCTTTGCGACGCAAAAAGATACAATTTGGAATTTTTTTTTCTTATTTTTTTGTAAATTGTGATGAAAATTTGGAGTTGCATGTTGATTGGTTGCGTTGCTGGTGTGCTGCTTGCTTTGTCCGCGGATTGGGGTCTACAACTGTGGCATCTTTTCTTCTCATTTACGACGTTGCACCGTCCCTCTTGCCGCTCTTGCTCTTGTCTCCTGATTCCAGCGCACTCCCAAAACAGCGGCTCTTCCTCAGTTAAATTAGTTGAAACTTGGCGTCTTTCTTCTATTCTTGTTTTTAGTTGTTTGTTGAGTGTTTGTTTTTGTTATTCAACAACAACAACAACATCATCGTGCATCATCATTCGGGCAACAGATCATAACAACAGAACGTGTATATATAAGTATATATATATGGATATATAGATGTATATATATACATATATAATATATGCATAACAACTATGTACATCGAATTAATCCAATTCCTGGCTACATCATAACTGCATTGCATATGTTTTCCTATAGATATTGTTGTTGTTGTTGTTGTTGCTGTTGCTGCGTCACGTTTAAATAGGAGTCCTCGCCGAGCAGCAGCAAACTGGGCGCTGATCCATCATGCGGATAGAAATATGCAAACTGACCACTGTAGGTGCCCATCTGTTGTTGTTGTTGTTGTTGTTGCTGCTGCAGTTGTTGTTGCTGTTGCTGCAGCAACTGTTGTTGCTTCCTTTGCTTCTTCTTCCTGTTGTAGTTACTGCTGTTGTTCAGTTTGTAAACGGGCAAATTGTTGATCTGCTGCTGCGTCAGCACCAAGCTGCCTGTGGCTGCCACATCCTCATCCAGTGCTGTGCTTAAGTTGTTGTTGTTGTTGCTATTGTTGTTGTTGCTGTTGTTGTTGTTATGGTTGTAATAGTGTTGCTGTTGTAGTTGTTGTTGTTGTTGCTGTGTCTCGAGTGGCTGCTGCTGTTGCTGCTGCTGCGGCGGCTGCTCTAATCACGTGCTCAGCCAAGTGGAATTGCAGGTGCAAATGGAGCTGGGAATCACAGGTGCATAGTAGACGCCATTGGCATAGATCAGTCCAGGCGGACCAGCTTGAATCTGTATGGTCTGTTGCTGCTGCTGCTGTTGCTGCTCGGCTGTTGCCGCTGTGCCGGCGACAACTGCAGCTGTTGTTGCTGCTGCTGCTGTGCCAGCGACAGCTGCTGCTGCTCCTGCCGTTGTTGTTGTGGTGCAGCAAACCGGCGTCGCCTGTTGCACATAAATCGTTGGCGTCTGTTGCGGCGCCGTTGTTGAAACGAGTGTCAAAACTTGCGTCGTCTGCACTCCACCCTGCTGCTGCTGCGGGTCTAGTTGCTGCTGCTGCTGCTGTTGCTGTTGTTGGTGTAGGAATTGATGTTGCTGGTGTAGATGTTGCTGGTGATGGTGTTGCTGCTGCTGGTGATGATGTTGCTGCTGCTGTTGTTGGTGATGATGATGATGCTGTTGCTGCTGCTGCTGCTGTTGGTGATGATGGTGATGGTGATACTGTTGCTGCTGCTCCTGTGCCTGCTTCACCTGATTGGCAAGCGAATGGATGAGCGAGAGAGTCTGTCGACGCTCGTGCCCCATCAGGCAGACGGTGGACATCTCGACAACATTGTATAAATGCATCAGGTACTCGTACTGCAGCGGCTCCTCATCGATGCCCCAGAAATGATTGCGCAAATAGGCCTCCAGTTTCGTTGTCTGTGTGTTAATGTCGGGGAAATCGATGAAGAATCGGGAGCACATATAGCGCTCCAGTGTCTTTATCAATTGCGAATCGACGGCGGTATAATTGCGCACCAATAGATTACAATATTTGAGCAGGCCACCGCCGCGTATCTCCTCCGGCTGGCGCGTTGAGATCAGTTTCTTTTGCAAGTGATAGAGCGCCTCCTGGAAGTCACCGTACACCGATTCGCCGACAACGGTCGGATAGAAGTTCTCCGATATGGGCAGAGCGGCACAATCGTAGAACAGCAGCAGCGAGTCCAACACAATCTGGAACGAGTCCACGGAGAACTCGAACTGGCGACGCATCGTGTCGACGAACTTCAGCTCGACATTCTTGTGGCCGGGCGAATTGCCCAGGGAGATGAGGGACCAGCGGTCGCCATCGTTATTATTGTTGACCTTGACCATTTTGCCGACATAGGCCTCCTTGAGGGAGCACGTGTAGATGCGACGCTTGCAGACGCCCTCGGGCATCAGGTCGAGCAGGGTGTTCAGCACGGCGGTCTTGACGCGATCGAAGACACGCGGCGAGCTCAGCTCGATGGCAAAGATCAGATCCAGATCGTTATACTGCTGATCCTCGTTGCCGAGGACATGACTAGCAGCGCCGCCATTGAGGCGTATATCCTTCACCAAGACACCAGCACCGCCACTGTTCACATCCGCCTCCAGTTTGCGTCGCACCACATTCACCAGATCCTTGAGCGTCACCTCGAGCGTCGGAAAATTGCCGCGTCCATGTATGGCCACCTTCTCGTCCATGACGTCGTGCAGCTTGCGCACCTGCTCAAACGAGAGCACAGCCAGCCGCTGTGTTCCCCCAGTATCCACACTCTCCAGCGATCCATGGTCCGAGGTCGATGCTATCGACGAACCCGAACTGGGCGATGGCGGCGGCGTTTCGGTGCCGCCATCCGAATGGAAACCGTCGTCAATCTGGTAAACGTCCATTCTGTTGTTGCGCTGCTGATGAAATAACGGTTCGGCGGCTCCGTCTAGTGTCCCGCACTGCAAGAACAAAAGAGAGAGAAAGATTTACGTTAGTTATGCAAGCTTTAAGAGAGCTTTAATACAGCTTTAATGCAGTCCTCGCATTGAGCTTTTTAAACTACTTTCAAAAAGCAATAAAAATGCAAGTTTTAGTTTTCGTTGTGTTTTTCTTTCATTAAACATTACGTTATATCTGTATAAAGAATAAATGAAGCTAATATTAAAGCTTTTCTTTGGATTTATTTAAGCACTACTGTTCAGTTTTTCCATTTATAATCCTATCGACTTCAAGCTCATTTCTGACGAAACATTATTCTACACATGAGTAAAATTTAAGTTTTCTATCAAGTTTAAACTAATTTTCCATGTGCAAAACTGATTAAATGCGAGCAGAAAATGCATAATTAAAATCAAAGTCAAAGTCGGATAATACGTTATAGTTCTGTTTAATCGTATAGTGATAAGATAGTCAAATAAGACGCTTTTAATCGTATTATAAACGTATTCAAATACTAAATGAAAATAGTTCTCAAAAATAAATATAGTGATAGGATAAGCATAATTGTAGATCGTTTCACTTAAGAGTTCAGTTCTATAAATTCACACAAGCAATTATTAATGAGATGCAGCTTAATCCTTAATTATATTATTATTATATTATTCACAGATGACACAGACACACTCAACGCAGATTTTGTGGCATTATTGAATGTATAATACACATCGTTTTTTCAGCTCTAATTATTGGTGTCTGGGTCTAGGTTTAGAACACACAATTTGTTGAGCTGTGTACCCGAGTATAATTTATCTATTTATTTAGTTTGTTGTTTTTGTTGTTCTCGTTATTATTGTTGCTGTTGTTGCTTTTATGACATTTTATTGCGCCAATGCCATCTAAATTGCCCAGCCCCGGGGGCTTCTTTTAATTAATTAATTTGCTTTAAATTTGTTCAATTTTCGCTTGTGTAGGTGTCTGTCTGTGTGTGTGTCCCCCTCGCCCACACAAGTTCCTCCAAATGTATATATTCGCTGCTTATTGAGCTATACTTTTTCCCACATTTAATATAATGTTTAACTTGTTGTTTATTCCCACTTTTTTTTGTGTGTTTTTTATGTTTTACTAATTTATTTGTTTATTATCAACGCCTGACCGTCCGACTGTCCGACTGACTGTCCGACCGCCTCACCGTTTAACGTTTGCCTTTGCACTGGGCTCAATGATTTTTTTTCTTTTTTCATTTTCAACTTTTGACAAAACAAAAATAGAATTTTCAGCCATCCGAGTTGAAATTTCCGCGTTGTTATCGACGGCGCCGCTTCTTCTTCTTCCCCCCACCCACTCTTCACCCAGTCTTTCTTTTCGTTCGCCTTTTGCTTTGCGGCTATCGGCATTTGGGTCTGGGTCGGGGCTATGCTTATTTTATACCTCTATCGCTTAGCTCTATCACTCTTTCTATCTTCTTTCTTCTATTTTCCTCTTCTCTTTTCTCTTTGTATTTGCATTTGCGTGCCTGTTTTACTGTTGTTGCTGTTGCTGCGAGGGTTTTGTTTGTGCGTCGACTTTTTATCATATTGTTTTGTATTTTTTTGGTTTAAATTATCTGGCATAACCAGCTGCTGCTGCTGCTCTGTGTATGTATGTATTTAGATATTATCTATATATATATATATATATATATATATATATACATTTGTGTGTTTAGGTCTATGTCTGCGTGCAAATATTCGGACAGCCATAAACCAAATCAACTAGATGCCTGCCTGATGCGAATGATTCACTAGCCAGAGCCACCCTGCATAGATAAACATACACATGCACACACAGAAACACACACAGCCATAGACACACACACAGCCATAGAAACATACACAGCCATAGAAGCATTCTGCAGTAAGTTCGAGAAAGTATGCAACGTTTACACGAGCAAACATAACTCGGTTGCTTTGATTTGAAGTTTAATGCTTCTTATCAGTCAATGTTTATATGTTTTTCGTTTTTTTTATACATTTCTATTTTATTTCTTTTGATAAGTAATCATGTGAACAATCTTATTTTATTTTTTATCTATTATAAAACTTAATAATCACGATTAGATATAAGTCTATATAACGAGTTCGATTCGCTTTGTTTATTCATTTGCCAATAATATATAGATATTAATCAAATTTTTAAATATTTTTCAACATTTGCCTTGTTTTTCTGATTGGCTTATTAGCGTGCTTTATCTTACAGCCTTGTCTACTATATATATATATATATATATATAATATTTCATCTGCTTATCATAACAAAGACACAGGTAACTAAAATTATCTGCTACATTTGGGTGCTTCCCATTTCGAGTGTGTAACTAAATAATAATGAAATACTTCAATTTGACCGCACTCGACTGGCGAACACACACACATTTTGAGCGTTTATCGTGATTTCGCGGTTGCGTGTGAATCGGAATGATAAATATGGAAATGCAGCAGCTACTAAAAGCGAAAGGGCAAACAATTAACTGAGGTGCAACCACAAGTCAAAAGTGACGCATCCACCGCACATCGTTTAACTGAATCAACAAGCATCAACTAATTAGCGGAAACTGCCTAAGCTTGTAAGCTTGTCATAAACCCAATGATGGATGATAGATAAAAACAATGAGAACGAACAATTAGATTATCTCTAATTTCTCAAGCCTTTAAGTAGACCTGATTTAAGTAGATCAAAAAATGCACAGGAAGTGCGCGTCCATTAACCACTTGATAAACATCTCGATTCTCGATGCTTCTTCAGCTTCATGTACACAGAGAGATGGATGATTCGCGTAATCATCGGCCGCATAAACTCAATTCAATTGAGTGCCCAACACTGGCGAATTTTCGAGTCCATTTATTTACTCAAGGGAATTGTTTCAAAGTGTTTTATTTGTGATCAACTTGGGAATTGCGAATTGCTGCGTGGCATACTAGTTTGCAGGAGTAGAATTATTAATGTGATTTAGCTTTTAGCTGAGTGTTGAAGTCCACAGTTTGTGTGGATGGAACAGGAGGGTGGCTGGGTAGCTGGGTGTCAAACTGTTTCTATGTTGCCCAGTGTAGTTGTCGTTGTCGTTGTCGTTTTTTATTTCTTCTGCAATTATTTATTAATTGCCGCTGGCTGGCAACAAAGCATTTATTGCATGGAATTGTAATTTGTAATTGTTATTACAGGCGCAATTTTCTTTTTTTGTTTTTGCACTTTTTGTTGTTTTGTTTTTGCTTTGATTGTGTGCTCAATTCTTCATTTGACAACAATAATTAAGCGCATATTTCGTAAATTTACTGCTTATATCAAAAGTGTATTTAATTCCTTTCGTAACTCTTCTCGACATTAATGGGATTCCATATTGCAATCTATGTCACAGAGCTCTCAAATTGGAATTTTACTTTCTCCTCTACACCACACAAAACGCATGCATAATACAAAATAATTTTAACTGAAATTCACACCATAACTAAAATTAGCACACTCTTTTTTTTTGTTTTTCATATTCGCACTTCTTAATTTCTATAGTGCATTTCTTACATTACATTTGTGTTTTCTTTTTGCGTATTTTGACACAGTTTTTAAGCTGTTTTTTGGCTGTGCTTCAAGAAATAATTTTTAATTTACATTCATTTTTGTTGCAGATTTGCAGATAAGGCTTTTTAATTGGCCCGCAAGCTGTGATAAAAGCCAAGAAAAAAAAACAACTATTTTTTTTTTGATTTGGCATTTACCACAATTTATTTATTTATTTTTTTTGCTGTGGCGAATTTCACAATACAATGTATTCATTGAACCCATACACACACACACACACACAGAGACATATATATATATATATATATATGTATATGTATATTTTGATGTGTGTGTACTTTTTCCACAAATAATAAATTAACGCTGCAATTTTCACCAATTTCTTCTCGGCATTTATTTTGCTGCTCATTATGATTATTGAGCAGAAATGAATGGTTCAACTTCATTATGTATTAACATGATGATTATGTTGTTGGCTGCAGTTGGATTGCACACAGACACACACACATACAAAGCCAAAGAGAGAGAGAGAGAGAGACACGCAAACAGGTGTATCGGTCTCTGGTGGAGCCTGGTGGCCTAGACAGACTTGGACTGGGGGACTGGTCTCAAATAAAAGTGAAAACCGTTGTTTTTTTCTTTCTTTCGATAACAGCAAAAAAGAGAAAAACAACAGCAGCAACAGAAAGTGTTTGCAAAGCAAAGCTCAAACAAGTGTAACATAGCAGCAGGCAGCTGTGTGCGTGTGATGTCCAAAAAAAATAGCAAAAAAAACACAAATGCAAAAACAAATATGGATTCCGTGTAGAAGAAGCAAAAGTATTCATTCGCATGTGTGATAGATATGTACATATGTATGTATGTATATAGGATGCAGCAGGAGTGTGAAGGGAGTGTGTAAACAGGTAGGCGGGCAGCAATTACCGTTTTAAGAAACAGGCGAAGACGACGCACCCGCGTCTATTGTTTTAATCTTGATTTTCTTTTTGAATTTTTTTTTTGCTATGCGACTTTGCAGCAGCTGCGTGATTTTTTTCTTTTTATTTATTTATTTATTTTTCTATCACAACTATTCACTAGATATATTTATGCGAATATTTGCACTTTTCACTTTATAACACGCACTACACGACTTGCATATATATATATGGTGTGCTTATTAAATTGTTAACACTATTGTAGGCTTTTAAAATTTTGAAGCTACGAAGTGCGCCGCGCGTTGTTCAGTTACGTTGCGTTGCGTTGCGCGTTTGAAAACCAAATGAATTGGAATGCTTATTAGAATATTCGCGAGTGAGCGGCTGGCGCGCACACACCAAAAATCGAAAGCTTTGCCCAGCTGACGTCACGACGCTTTTGCCGCTCAACGAGTGACTTTTTGAGTCATTGAGCGAGCGGCGAGTGAGTAGTGGTGAGAGGCGTTGCTCAGCTGAGCGCGCTGCACAAGCTTTGAGTGACTTTTGTGTTGAGG